GCCGAACGAAATTATCAGATTTATGACAGAGAACTCCTTGCTGTCATCCGCGCTTTACAAGCTTGGAGACATTTCCTCGAAGGAAACCCTCATCCAGTTATTATCTTCACCGATCATAAGAACCTCCTTTATTTCAGATCTGCACAGAAACTCACTAGGAGGCAAGCTCGTTGGCAGCTTACACTATGCAACTATGATCTCACCTTCCACCACGTCCCCGGGTCCAAACTCGCCGCCCCCGATGCTCTTTCCCGTCGATCTGATCACGCCTTCTCTGGATCCGATAACGAAGATCTTATCCTCCTTCCCGATTCGCTGTTTGTCAACCTCATTGATGCTGAACTTGCAGAAGATTTCAAACTCCTTCATGACGCATCTGACGATGCTACCATTCGCACTGCATTAGACGCCTTAAACGGCGTGTGCGCTCCCCCTATGAAATCTGCACTTTCCGATTGGAAATTCGAGGATGATGTCCTTTTCTACAAAAATCGTGCTTATGTACCCTCTGATCTCCGTCATCGAATCCTTACCCTCCACCATGATCATCCTACGGCAGGACACCCGGGCCGCACTATCACGGAATGGAACGTGAAGAAAGCCTATTGGTGGCCAGGGATGGGAACATATATCAGGAAATACGTTGACGGATGTGCAACTTGTCAACAAATGAAGCCGAATACGCATCCTACCACCCCTCCCTTATTACCGATCTCCTCCACTGCTTCTCGCCCCTTTTCACAGGTATCCGTTGATCTTATCACCGACCTTCCGCCGTCTCTTGACTTCGATTCTATCATGGTCGTGGTAGACCATGGCCTTACGAAGGGGGTAATTCTCTGCCCTTGCAGAAAAACGATCACCGCAGAAGGAGTAGCCCAACTTTTCTTTGAAAAGGTCTTTCTTAGATTCGGTCTCTACGACAAGATTATCTCCGATAGAGGACCACAGTTCGCCTCTAAACTCGCAAAAGAGCTTGGAAGGCTCCTAAACTATCAAGTCGCCCTTTCTACCGCCTACCACCCTCAGACCGATGGACAAACTGAACGAATGAATCAAGAACTAGAAACCTATCTCCGAATATATTGTCGAACGAACCCTAATGATTGGGCCAATCACCTTCCCATGGCAGAATTCGTCCACAACTCCAGAAAAGGCAGCGCCAGAAACGCCTCTCCATTCTCCCTTATGATGGGATACGAACCTCGCGGATACCCTCACGCCTTCCCTGACTCCACTCTTCCAGCCGCAGAAGACCGCATCAAACACCTTCAGAAGATCAGAGAAGAAGCCCTAGCTTCTCATAGCCTTGCTCAACAACGAATGGCAGAAAGATCTCATGGACAGAAGTATGAACCATGGAAACGAGGTGATAAAGTTTGGCTTTCCGCAGCACACCTCATCACACGACTTCCCTCAAAGAAGTTAGCTCCCAAGCGATACGGCCCTTTCGAGATCACAGAAGTTCTATCGCCTATCACGTTCAAATTGAAGCTACCGAAAACCTGGAGAGTTCACTCCACATTCCATGCTTCTGAACTATCCTCCTATCAAGAGACAGAGATACACGGCCCGAACTTCTCTGAACCACCTCCTGACCTTATCAATGGAGAAGAGCATTACGAAATCGAAGCCATACTCTCGCACAAAGGGGCAGGCACAAGACGTCGTTATCTCGTATCTTGGGTTGGATACCCTGAATCTGAGAACTCATGGATCCTTGAAACGGAACTTGAAAACGCAGCGGAGCTTCTCAATGCCTATAAAAAGAGACTCAAACTCGTCTCTAGAGCATTAGGCCTTTAAACCTACCTTAACTCGAAACCAACATGTCTGACCGCTCCAGCTGCTCTTATGGCTCCGACCACAGTATCACCAACTTCTTTGAAAACAATCCCTTTACTCGTCCCCAGACCCCTGGCCAACATCGGGCCATGTGGGAAGCCGTTATTCTCGACATCCAGTATGCTATGAGGCTTGACGCCTATGTAGAGAGGGTCGGCAATGCCACCCTCAAAGAACTCATCATAATTTTCCGGGCAGCAGACGCCCTCACTCCCGCAGCAATGCAATTCCAACTCGACTCCTCCACCAGTCTTGGTGCGATCCCCATCAGATACAACCAAAGCAAGATCAAGAATGCAGTCTTGAATGCCATCAGACTCACAGTTGACTTCGATGACGCAATCAGAAGGATAGAGGATGAAAATGAGTTCAATCCACCTCCCGAACCGTTCATCGCAGCAATGCGACATGTGACTCCAACCCCTCCCTTAATCATCGAAGAAGATGAAGAAGCAGTAGAACGTAGCAGCTCGCTCTATGTGCCATACACACCCCCCCCTGTAGCCCAACCACCTCAGGACTATTATTCGTTCCTCGGATTATCTCCTCCCAGTACGCCTCCCCCCAAAGCTGAAGAAGAAGAGCAGCAAATTCCTGTTGATATCTCCCCGTCCCAGTCAAGGACACTCTCCCCTGAACTTTCGCTTTGCTACCCATTGCAAAACGAGGTCCCTATCCCTGTCCCACCTCCTACTACGCCCGTCGATCGTGACGATAGGATGGACATACTCCGCAGAGCGCAAAGGCTTACTCGGATGAAGCCTAAATTGCTTTTCTCTATGGGGCTTCCTTTAAGCCAACATCATTACAAACACTACGACTTCGAAGCCGCACCAGGATGTACCACTGCCGCACAATACTCCGTCGAGAGAGCACAGTATGAAGCCGGAGAAACGACTCAAACCTATCCCTTCAATTGCGTCTGTCGCACTTGCAACAATTGGGGGCATAAACAGAAGCATTGCAAGAGGTACCAATGCCGCATTTGTGGCAAATACGCCCCCAAGCACCTTACCCCATTCTGTCCCATCCTCAAAGGGAAGAAGCTCCTTCGTCGCGGAAAATCTGCTGATCGGTTCCATACGGAAATGGCTAAACTCGAAGCTGCCTTTGACCATGAGCGTGCTCGTGTTGCAGAAGAACGGGAGGAGAATGAACTCGACGCCATCGCCATGCTGGCAGATATTGACGTTGACCCCATCTATTATTCCAACCAGGATGATTGAAGTCGGTGACTTCAAACCTTTGAACGGGAGGTAATGTTACGATAACATACTTCTGACCGGACCCCCATATATTTTCTCCTATCTTGTATCACCATATGACGTCTTATCACCTTCTTGTACAGCATCCTTGATCGCCGTCTTATCTCGTATCTCTTATCTTGTACCCTGTACCCTTACCATTGCCTCGGTAGCCCTGCCCTGAACTGACCTTTCCTATAAGTAGTCGATCGTCTTGTCTTGTATTCTCTAACTTGAATCTACTCAGTCTTCTGATAGACCTTCCTTGAGCAAGACAGCTCTCGTATACGATTTCACTAAAGACTCTTCGTCTTAAGTGTCTTTACTTGATCGATACCATTTAGTCTTGTCTTCACTTGCTGATTCTTATCACCAAGTATCGACTCCAACGATAACGATAACGAACCTCTGCATTATCTTTGTCTTACGCTAAAGACTTAGTACAGAGCTCTTACCTGAGTCTACGCTTTCAGCGTAACAGGTACAGCAGATTTTCCTGATCATAAAGAATTACCTATATCATGGGCAAATGGCGCCCATAGCCATTGGATAACTATGAGGTATTCTGGTACATGACATAGACATGCAACATCTTTACCAAGAATTTAGAGGTGGACAACCAAAGGTGTAAGATGATGAACCTATGCTTAAATGTCACCCCAAAGGCCAATGGTGGCGGGCCTGTACCAAAGGTCCTCAATGTTGCAGCCAGATGATAGAGAGTAGCCATTGAGTAACTATGGGGTGTTACATTACATAGTCATCCAATATCATCACCAAGAATTGAGAGGCAGATGACCAAAGGAGTGAGATGATGAACCTATGCTTAAATGTCACCCAAAAGGCCAATGGTAGCAGGCCCACACCAAAGGCTGTCAATGTTGCGGCCAGATGATAGAGAGTAGACATTGAATAACTATGTGGTATCTTACAGTCAACCATTAACAAGGTTTGCCCTGATGTACTTTGTTTGTACCATCTTATCAAATGTAACTAGACAAACCTAAGACTCGGCGATTTCCTGATGCTACCTGCCATACATCTCAGTGCAGCTCCCCGCACAAAAAAAAACAACAGTGTATTGTTCTGGACGGAAGTCATCGCGGTTCTATCTCCAATGTGGCTAAGTGTCACCTCAAGAAGGGCACTGTAGACATTGCAATTACTCCATCGACATTAACCAATTTGTGGTTTGACCAGATTTGTCTTGTAGAGCAGTCATGCATGACTATGTAATACCAAATCTCATTAATACCTACCATTCCATTCCATTACCTTACCATAATCATTATTAACAATATGCTGAATGCCCATGTCATTTTCCCTTGCATGAAACTTCACATTTCCCTTATCACATTTGTTATGGGAAATGCCCATCATTATGTAATATTTTGCAGAACAATTTCCTGTGCTCGACATGCTGGATTTATCTTTGGATAAAATAGGATTGCAAAAGTTTGCGTTTGGGCCAACATGTTTCAAAAGGAGAAAATTTTGAGGATTTTATACATCTAGATGGACTTCAAAATGGTGTTAAAATGTATTATTGTGCTTTGTCATTTTGCCGTTAGTCGAAATTTCCTATTGTCCTAGTGATAAAATTCAAAGTACAAATGACTAATTTATTGTTCTCATTTTAATTAAAATCTGCAAAACCCAGAAACCGCCGCTGTGTCATTACTCGCCGTGAACTCTGATGAATCAACTTTTAAATTCATGTGGGGTGACATCAAAAGATGAAAAAGAAGAGGTAATACCAGGGTTCGAACCTGGGTTTCGGGAAGATTGTATGTCAAAATCCCGAGTGATAACCACTACACTATATCACCTTGGGACATGGTCGGCTTTTAAAAGGTTTATTCAGACAAATTTGTGATGGTAAAGAGAATTTACACGTTGTCGGTGTACATACTCGTTTCATGATTGAAACCGAAATAACTGTTTTTGCGCTTGTGAACCAAAATAGTGACTGTTTCCATCCGACCGACCGCAGTCGCCCGCTCCGTTCAATATTCCGACGTCACTACCATGAACAGCGATGAATCTTTTGCAGCGCTCGTCAATACCGCCAATCCAGCAGCGTCCGGATACCATCAGCGACACTCCAACAACCCATACATCCATTCAGATTCTAATACTACTCCGTCTGGTTATCCTCCTTTACAACACCCAAATCTCATGGATCCCTTCTTTGACGATGACGACGACGACGCTTCTCACTCCAATTTTGCTATGTACTCTGCTCCCAGATCAATGCAGTCACAGGAGAGCGGTCTCCCTCTCGCTCGCTCAGCGGCACCCCCAGCTGGCATAGGAGCATCTTCTGCTTCTCTTGCAACTTCACCTAACGGACAACCACAAGGCTGGGCATTTGACGATGACGCTCTGTCACCCGCGTTCTCACCTAGCCCTGCCTTCCCAGGGGAACCATCCTCAACACCACTCCGCCCGCTCAAGCGACGCAGAAGGTGGAAATGGCCCTGGCAGAGGGACAAGGAATTTACTGGCGAACGCATAATCACTCTCAACAACCCACTCATGAACGACGACTATTGCTCAAACTTTGTGTCTACGAGCAAGTACAACATGGTCACATTTCTTCCCAAGTTTCTTACCGGTGCGTCCTGTGTGGTATGGCGTACACCACGAAACACCCACTGATGCATCGTTTACGCAGAACAATTCTCGAAATATGCCAATTTGTTCTTTTTGTTTACAGCGTGCATCCAGCAGATTCCCGGTGTATCGCCCACGAACCAGTATACTACTATCGCACCCCTGGCCGTGGTCCTCCTCGCTTCCGCATTCAAAGAAGTTCAAGAAGACCTCGTGCGTTATTCCTTCATCTACTCACTAGGCCATTCTGACCCCATCTCAGAAACGACACCAATCCGACTCCGAGCTCAACGCGCGACTTGGCAAGGCGCTCTCCGGGAACGCTTTCGCCGCACGGAAATGGAAAGACCTGTGCGTAGGCGACATTGTGCGCGTGGAGTCAGATGAATTCATCCCAGCCGACCTGGTACTCATATCCTCGAGTGAGCCCGAGGGATTGTGTTACATAGAGACTTCCAATCTTGACGGGTACGTTTTTCCTCTTATTCTCTATCTTTCCCTGACAGACGCTCTCCAGCGAGACCAACCTCAAAATCAAACAAGCTTCCCCTCAAACTTCCTCGCTCACCTCCCCATCCCTCGCAAGTGCTTTGCACGGTACATTGCGGTCAGAACAGCCGAACAACTCATTGTACACATACGAGGGAACGTTGGAACTGTTGAGCGATATGAATGTACCGAAGACGGTGCCGTTGGGCCCAGATCAGATGTTGTTGAGGGGCGCGCAGTTGAGAAATACGCCGTGGGTATATGGGATCGTAGTGTTCACAGGCCATGAAACGAAGCTCATGCGAAATGCAACGTGAGTGGTTCAATCTTATTCGAGGCTTTTCACTTTACGGAATTCTTGCGATCCCCTCCAATGCTCACCTTGGGAACAGTGCGGCACCGATCAAACGTACGGCAGTCGAGCGCCAAGTTAACGTCCACATCATCTTCCTCTTCGTCTTCCTTCTTGCTCTCTCACTCGGGAGTACGATCGGCGCCAGCATCAATACAGTGCGTTCTGTCTACTTCATTAGGGATAGGGCTGACAGAACTTTTGTAGTGGTTCTTGTCCGGCCAGCAATGGTATTTAGCGGAGCCAAGCACATTCACCGGCAAGGGTGAGTACCTCCCCCCGAGTAGCTTGCTTCAAACGTTAACTGATCATATCTGAACAGCAAAAGCATTTATTGAAGGTCACCCACATTCATCTACTTACCCTCACTCACTCACTCAAACTCTTCAGACATCCTCACCTTTATCATCCTCTACAACAACCTCATCCCGATTTCCCTCATCGTCACCATGGAGGTCGTCAAATTTCAACAAGCCCAACTTATCAACGCCGATCTAGACATGTACTACGCGCCCTCGGACACACCTGCGCTCTGCCGGACCAGCTCGCTCGTGGAGGAGCTCGGACAGATCGAGTTTGTATTTAGCGATAAAACGGGGACGCTGACGAGGAACGAGATGGAGTTTAAGAAGTGCTCGGTTGCAGGGGTTCCGTATGCTGATGTGGCGGAGGAAGGTGGGGAGGAGGAGGAGGGTACGAGGACATTCGAGGAGCTGCGGGGGATATTGTACGGGGATGCAGGGAAGCCAGTTAGTGCGGGGGCGATCGAGGACAGGGAGCGGGAGGCAGCTAGGGAGTTTATGGCATTGTTAGCGGTGTGCCACACGGTGATACCGGAGGTGAAAGACGGGAAGACGCATTATCAGGCCAGTAGTCCAGATGAGGCGGCGCTAGTGGCAGGGGCGGAAATGTTGGGGTATCAGTTTCACGTGGGTCACTCATTCCTTGTCAAACACTTTTCGGCACATTCTTTCTGTCCCCCTCATCGCACGCACTGACTTACTCTTCCGCAGACTCGCAAACCCCGCTCTGTCTTTCTCTCAATCAACAGCACCCCCGCCGAGTACGAGATCCTCAATGTGTGCGAGTTCAACTCGACGCGCAAACGTATGTCGACAATCGTACGTACGCCCAGCGGTTCGATCAAGCTTTTCTGCAAGGGCGCAGACACCGTCATCCTCGAACGCCTCGCCAAGTCACAGCCGTACACCGAGAAGACACTCATTCATCTTGAGGTTCGTTCATTTTCCCTCCCAGCGCCACCAATGTATGACATACTCACCGATTCACAGGACTACGCAACTGAAGGCTTGCGCACTCTTTGCGTCGCCTACCGCGACGTTCCAGAGGCCGAATACCGGCAGTGGGCCTCTATATATGAGCAAGCAGCTGCAACGATCAACGGACGTGCGGACGCTCTTGACAGTGCGGCAGAGTTGATTGAGAAGGACATGTTTTTACTCGGGGCGACGGCTATTGAGGATAAGCTCCAGGATGGCGTGCCAGATACGATACACACGTTACAAATGGCTGGGATCAAGGTACGTTTGTCACAGACATTTCATCATGGCGTCCGTTTTTATGAAAGCTAATGCGGTGCGCAGATCTGGGTGCTTACGGGTGACAGGCAAGAAACTGCTATCAATATCGGCATGTCCTGTCGGTTGATCTCGGAGTCTATGAACTTGGTAAGTTGGGAACGTGGTGGAATTCTTCGAGTACTAATACTCTACCTCTATAGGTCATCGTCAACGAAAATAACTCGCGTGACACTGCAGATTTCATCCAGAAGCGACTTTCGGCGATAAAGAATCAGCGGAGCACAGGAGAGCTCGAAGATCTGGCTCTGGTTATAGGTTAGCACGCGCGCGAAATCAAACAATACCATTTGACTAAGTTTTTTTTTTTCATTGCAGACGGAAAAAGTCTAGGTTTTGCACTCGAGAAAGAGCTCTCAAAGTCATTTCTGGAGCTCGCGCTCATGTGTCGCGCAGTCATCTGTTGCAGAGTATCTCCACTACAAAAAGCTCTCGTTGTCAAACTTGTCAAGAAGAACCAGAAAAGTATTCTCTTGGCCATTGGTGACGGTGCGAACGATGTGAGCATGATCCAGGCAGCGCATGTGGGTGTGGGTATCTCTGGAGTCGAGGTATGTTTTCGTTCGTGCGCGGCATTGCATTAGGATTGAAAGTAATCTGTATAGGGTCTACAAGCCGCGCGGTCTGCGGATGTAGCAATTTCACAGTTCAGATTTCTCAAGAAGCTATTGCTGGTTCATGGCGCATGGAGTTATCAGAGGTTGTCGAAGCTCATTCTTTGTACGTATTTTCGTATTTTTTTTCTGCTGAATCATAAGCATCCACAGACTCATTTTACAAGAATATAACGCTCTACATGACACAATTTTGGGTACGCATCCGCACGCTACTCACGAATGTCTAGCTGACCATTACCTCGTAGTATTCCTTCTTCAATAATTTCTCAGGGCAGATTGCCTACGAGTCATGGACGATATCGTTTTACAACGTCATCTTTACTGTCCTCCCCCCTCTCGTCATCGGCGTGTTCGATCAGTTCGTATCTGCGCGGATACTAGACCGCTACCCGCAACTATATGCTCTTGGGCAGAAGAACGTATTCTTTACGAAGACGGCATTCTGGCTCTGGGTTGGCAATGCGCTGTATCACAGTCTCGTGAGTGCCTTTCCAAGCGATGAAAAAATTGGTGATGGTCATGATACTAATCGCGTTTACAGATTTTGTTTACGTTTACTGTGATTTTGTTCTGGGGAGATTTGAAGCAGTCGACGGGGTTGGACTCTGGGCATTGGTTCTGGGGTGCGATGCTTTACCTGGCTGTCCTGCTCACTGTTCTTGGCAAGGCCGCTTTGGTTTCTGAGTACGTGCCACTATTCGTGTTCCATTCTCGTACACTAATGCAGAATCTAGTTTGTGGACAAAGTACACTGTTGCTGGTGAGCACAAGTCTTCATTTAAGAATGAATGTCCAACTGACGCCTTTCCCAAGCGATTCCCGGGTCGTTCGTTTTCACTATGCTCTTCCTTCCTTTATACGCCGTTGTTGCCCCTGCCATTGGATTCTCTAGCGAATACTACGGACTTGTTCCTCGTCTATGGACTGACGCCGTGTTTTATTTTGTCCTCCTCCTCGTACCCATCGTCTGTCTGACTCGTGACTTTGTTTGGAAATAGTGAGTCCATGTCCGCTAGAGCGGGATGACTATCTGACGCTTTTTGTGAAGCTACCGACGGACTTACATCCCTCTTCCGTATCATATCGCTCAAGAGCTACAAAAGTACAACATTCCTGACTACCGTCCGCGCCAGGAACAGTGCGTGTCACTACCAAGTGTCATCTGCCGTTGATGCTAACCCATTATCGCCCCAGATTCCAAAAAGCAATCAAGAAAGTCCGCGCCGTCCAGCGCATGCGCCGGAACCGCGGATTCGCATTCAGTCAGACGGAGAACGGGCGTCAAGATCAGGCGAAACTCATTCGTGCATATGATACATCCAAGTCAAGCGCACGACCGTCGGGATATTAGACACGAGAGAGAGTCATTTGCTTGATCTGTCATTCATGGACTGTATTGTATAACTGGGACTAATTCAAACACCAGCATCTCGCCATTTGTAGAATGATTCTTCAACGGATTTTTTATTGTGTTTTTGTTTTCATTCGACGGTGATGGGATGACGTTGAAACACTGCCCAGTTCTTGATTCGCTGCCGAGACAAGCAAGGGATGGAAAATTCCTATCGAGGAGCGCATTTGTCCTCTGGGTAGTGAAAATTCAACTAGGGAGGCAAATAACAGAGAGGTTGGTATCTTGACCAGCAATGAACCATCGTGCGCTTGCAATACATGTACACTAAGATTCTATAAGAACGTGCAAGTTTCGGCTATGGAGGTCAACACTGGTAGTGATGACAGTTTTAAGCACGAGTTCGTACTAGCCCCTGACTTTCATGCAACTTACAGCGATACTCCTGCTCACTTGGACGCCATGTGACCTAATGCGGGCACAGCGTCCGTAATATTGGCAGTCCCAGGTTCACATAGCCAGATACGTATCTCCTCATGGCTGCCCGGTATGAAGTCCCGTAACTCGCAAAAAGTATGCGACATACCTCATCAGTCGACATCCAAAGTGCAAACAAGGAGGATCTTAAGTTCCGTAGCGCAGAGTCGTGAACATTCATGATCAAATTGGTCACATCGATGTCGCTCCTGCTCCAGAAATACCTCAGCTGCAGTTGTATGTACACGGGTATACATGCTTGGAAATAATAAGGGGCAGGAAACTGAAGAAAGGTTCAGACGTGTCTAGATGTGACTAACGGTCAGGTACACCTCGATTGTCCGAAGCCAGTTTGTGCATATGAGGACAGCAGTAGCGGTAATTAAAACTACGGGGACACGAACGGAAGATTATACAAGCGACATGTCATGAATCTAGTGCAAGGGTACTTCAGTGGTCGCGGGACTTCCTAACGAGATATGAGCGATGGGATTGATAAAGGAGGAATATAATACCTATATTCTCCCTCTGCGGCAACACTGAGCTCTTCAATTTCCCCTTGTGCGGAAGAGAGGGCTTCAGCAGCTGCAGCGAAGTAAAGCAGCTACAAATCAAGGGTAAGTCCCCGAGACTTCCCCCATTATAAAACACATACCTGAGCTTTCACAAGCTCATTGAGATTCTTTAAAGGTTCTGGCTGCAAAAAATAAGATAAGGTGCCATGAAAGCGAGTAACATTAACATACGTTTTCAAGAACTGTCTTCATAAGGGTGATGGCAACCTCCGTCTTCTGAACGAGGTCATCCTCTGCATTCTCGACATCAAGCCTGGCCTGCTCTTGCTTAAGGGGAGTCGCAGCTTTCAGACTGTATCAGAAATTGTAAGCATGTGAAGGACCATGGGACGGTGAAGTAATGACGTCTGCTTAGCGGCATCCAACTCAAGCCTGCTGACGCGGACAGCTTGGCGTGCTTTCATGGCGACGTTGATAGACGTTGAAAGGGTCGTTTGCCACGGGCGGAGGTATTGAGTCTGAATGGATTCGTCTTGCTCGATGCGAGCCGAAGCGATGTTGTCGAAAACTTCCGCATACACAGTCAGTGCTTTGCCGAGTTTATCTTCATTGCCACCAGGGGTGCGCTGCAGGGCGGCAGCGGCATTGGTCGCCGCGCGACCGAGAGCATGAGGGAGAGTCTTGTGCTGGGCAAGTTGCGGGGCAATAGGTGAGGGTGTAGGAAGATTGGTGCCTTTGAGGTTTGTAGCTGCGAAATTGGTGATACCATGGCCAATAGTGGTCGAGAGCTCTGTGATAGATTCCTGAATTTGAGTCGGGTAGTCATATGACTCGCTCTCATAGGCCTTTGTCACTCTGAAGGAGGTGAGACTCATCAGCCAATACACAAACGAATTGCACGAACTTGAGAAGTGCCAGGTGTGCTTGACGCAACGCGTCTACGCGAGCCTCCAAGTCCTTGTACTCTAAAATAACATTACATTTCAGCATACAAACTATGAGAAAGTTGTCATACCTTGAGGCAACTCGGTAATTTCGTCTGGGGCAACCTGACCTAAACGCTCCCTGGTTGCCTGAACACTGGAATTGAAGCCCTTTGCAAACTTGTTGGCGGACTGGCCCAGGTTTAAGCCTGAAAAGCTCGATTGAAGTTTGTTCCAGCCGTCCATTTAGTTTACTTCCAAATGATGATAATGATACAAGAACTTGAGAGACGGTGGAGGGTTCAAGAACAGCTTCTGACCGCAGTGAAGTAGCCCCGCGGTGCCAATTAGGTTCAAATATGGAAATAGGTTCAAGGGGTCCTACATTCAGACGCGTAACACGAATGCGCAAGCTCACTTTAAGATAATCCTCCACAATGTCACAACCATCGGCCTTCAGTTCTCCTGGATTCGACTTTTCTAACTCTGTTAGGTGAGTAGGACATCATATATAATCCATAGTTACTGTTTTGAGCAGTCACGTAGAAATAACTTCCTCCAGGAGAAGGGCATACCCCTTCCTAAGGCTACAAGCACTGGTACCACAATCGTAGGCTGTCTCTTCAAAGATGGCATCATCCTCGGTGCCGACACGCGTGCCACAGAAGGCGAAATAATTGCAGACAAGAATTGTGAAAAGGTCCGCTCTTGGAGATCAATATCCTTTGCGTCAACTAACACATCCCCAGATCCACTACATAACAGAATCGATTCGGTGCTGCGGGGCAGGTACTGCTGCAGACACTGAGTTTACCACCGCGTCAATATCATCAAATATGGAGCTCCATGCTATGTCCACTGGGAGAAAGCCAAGAGTGGTCACTGTAATGACTATGCTGAAGCAATACCTTTTCCAGTGAGTCCGACCGTCTTCAGTATTTTGATAATTTATCAATCTATACAATGCGTAGATACCAGGGTCATGTCGGAGCTGCTCTCGTCCTTGGCGGGGTTGACTCTACTGGGCCACATCTTTTCACCATCCATCCACATGGGTCTACCGACAAGTTGCCCTACGTGACCATGGGCTCCGGAAGCTTGGCAGCCATGGCTGTCTTTGAAAGCAGCTGGAAGCCAAACATGGAGGTACGTTCTACTGTCACCATATTTGGCCAATGTTTAATCCCGGTCCCATTTAGCGCAACGACGCTCTGGCTCTGGTTTCAGCCGCCGTCTCAGCTGGTATCTTCAACGACCTTGGCTCAGGGTCCAACGTTGACGCGTGTATCATTACGGCCACACAAACGGAAATGCTTCGCAATTTTGTCAAGCCCAACGAGCGAGTAGAGAAGGAACGCCATTACACATTCAGAAGAGGGACCACAGCATGGAAGAGCGAAAACATAAGAGACTTGATCGTTAATGAGGAGATTACACTTGTAGGCGCCAGTGGTGATGCCATGGACACTAGTTAGACGAGACCGACAAATGATACTTGGGTTCCTTGCGCACCAGATTTGGTTGGGCGACAACGTTTTGAACCTGATCTTTGTCCTTTGCATGCTTGATTTTATGCTGATACTCGCCGTGCCCGCCCGGTTGTCCAATTCGAGGACTCGCGACATTGATCTTTGGGTGCGTCGATCGTTAAATTTCACGGTTCGATCATTCATCAACTCTGTGGTATCAATAGAGACTGTTATCTCGAAGCTATATACACGCTACGAACTTGGGTACATGTGCATCAAGGAAATTCTTTGTTGCTTTCACTCATAAACTCAGCGACAAACGCGATATGATGAACGTTTGTACTGAAACTTTATTAATTTATTCATGATCTAATGCTCGTTGCATTATGACAATTGTATATAGCTACGGCTCTACATAGCTCTACATACTGTAACATCAGGTAACTTGGGCAAGGAGACCTGAGAAATGAATCGGTGAAGTGGTTTCATAGGCGCTAGCTGGTGGACCGAGCTTGCCATTTGCAGGTTGCAGCTGTGTTCCTGCGAACATGGAGGAAGGCACGAGTCAGTCAGTCATCATCAAGCCTCATTGCAACTACCACCACCATCGACGACATGCCTGTCGTCCAGTTCGCGCCCTTTGCGTCCCTTGTCCAACCGGGTTTTTGGCATGAGCTCACTCGCATGAAGATAGATGTTCTTCGTCTCTCAGAGGAAGCTATTACTGTGACTGGATCATACTCCGTCGGTCGATCAATCAGAGATCGCGAAACAGGGCAAGATATCGCTCTTGGATGTAACCTCACAATTAGGGAAGATGCTTACCAGAAGGCACCTCAGTATGTCGCGATCGGACACGCGTTGAAGCTGGTATGCTGACTATGTCCTAGGTTGCAACCCATGTCCGTCCAGGCCACTGGCATCTTCAAGAACTACAATACCATCGAGGACTTCAAGGCCGCGGATAAGGCTGCGCTCGTCAATGACGTCGTTGCCAAGGTACGATCATCCCTTGACGCGTCCGATAGTAAATAATAAATTATACTTAACCCAATAAGATCTGGGACAGCATCATCACGACCAAAGACACGTCTCTCCTCACGCAGTTCTTACTTATAACATTCGCCGATCTCAAGAAGTATCAGTACTACTACTGGTTCGCGTTCCCCGCGTTTGTGTCCAAACCAGCCTGGCAGATTTCAGAAAATGGCTGGAAACCAGCGGACGAAGAGATCAAGGGGGTATGTCCTTCTTTGAGGAGTATTTTCACGTTCTTACAAGCATTCTCAGATGGAGTCTATCTACGACTCCCTTCTCAACTCGACCAGATCATTCTTCCTCGTAAGGGAGGTTGGCGGCGTAACCATGGTGGGGTTGATAGAGGAATATGAAGAGTTCTTTTCTGGTGTCGCTCCCGAAAATGTAATTTGTGCATCACATCTTCTGAGCCGAACCTGACTCCCTTTGCGCAGCAAGCAGTCGGCTTTCTGGATCCATCTGCTCTTCCTGAAAACCCAGGTTGGCCTCTCCGTAACTTACTCACCTTCCTTCGCGCGGTGTACCCATCGCAAACATCTTCCGTCCGAGTTATTTGCTGGAGGGATAGCGAGAAGCCTATCGCTGGAAAGTCATGGAAGAGTCGGTTTGGAGTGGTCTCTGTCGGAGAAGGAGATCCAACTACGAAACCCAGTGCTATAGGATGGGAGCGCCATCCGACAACCAACAAGCTCAGCCCTCGAGTCGCTGACCTAGCACCCATGATGGATCCGAAGAGGTATCTGTTGTCCAACGAATCGTGGTGAATATTGCTGACATGACTTTAGACTCGCTGATCAAGCTGTAGACCTGAACTTGAAGTTGATGCGCTGGCGAATTTTACCTTCGCTAGACCTCGATAAGGTGGCATCGACAAGATGCCTGCTTCTTGGCGCCGGCACGCTTGGCTGCTACGTTGCACGAACCCTCATGGTCCGTACTGATGGGTTCAAGCCCACAGCTCTTGCTGACTTCTATCACTAGGGATGGGGTGTCCGTACAATTACTTTCGTTGATTCTGCGCGTGTATCATTTTCGAATCCCGTCCGCCAACCCTTGTTTGAATTTGAGGATTGTCTCAACGGCGGCAAACCCAAGGCTGCTTGCGCCGCCCAGCGTCTGACGAAAATATTTCCCGGTATTGTAAGTCCCGTCTAGCTCGTCTTGAACTTTGATGACCTTTAATCAGAATGCAACCGGCCATGATATGTCGATACCCATGCCAGGCCACCCTATACCCCCGGCGTCCACTGAGCAAGCGAAGAAAGACGTTGGACGTCTAGAGAAGCTGTTCGACGAACACGATGTCGTCTTCCTCCTAATGGATTCTAGAGAAAGCCGCTGGCTGCCAACTGTTTTGGGCGCTGCAAAGGGCAAGGTGCAGCACAAGACCCTATCCACATTACTCGTACTGAACCCTCGCGCAGATAGTCCTTAACGCCGCCCTTGGGTTTGACACTTACCTTGTCATGCGACATGGCGCTCGGGCGTCTACGACAACGGGCACTCGATTGGGTTGCTATTACTGCAACGATATCGTCGCTCCTGCTGATGTATCGTATTTCGACTCTCCGTACCAGCATTCACTTACATAACTTCTCGTATGTATAGTCCTTGACGGATCGCACTCTGGATCAGATGTGTACCGTGACAAGACCCGGCCTCGCCTCGATCGCAGCTTCCACGGCGGTCGAACTCCTTGTCTCTTTGTTACAACATCCTGATGGGTATGTCTTGGTTTTCTCCCTCGAGATACGGTTTCTGACGTCGTCCGCAGGATTCATGCACTCCCACCCCCTCCTCAAGCCAATGGCGCTGCGGCAGACCCCAGCACATCGGGCAGTGTTCTCGGTCTTGTACCTCATCAATTGCGTGGGTTCTTAGCGCAGTTCAGAAACCTCCCAATCACGGGCGCAGCGTATGACAAGTGCACAGGTTGCAGTGAAACAGTAAGAGCAATAACCCATTATTCACATTTATATACCCATCAATTGCTCAGGTTCTCAAAGCCTATGAGGAACAAGGCTTTGACATGCTCTTGAAGGCATTCAACGAGCCTGGATTCCTGGAATCATTGACTGGGCTAGATAAGCTCTATAGCGAAGGTGATGCAGCAATGGAGAGCGTGGATTGGGAAGAGGACGACGAGGACGAGTAGACTCTAATGACCGATGTAACAGAGTGTAATTCTACGACTACCGAACTATTCCTGTACTTGTTTTGTGTTGTTTTACGAAGTTGCGATGGGGCACTACAATTTGCTCTGTAAAGATATTTCACTGCCATGAGACTGGCCCAAATACCACAGCGTCGCATCCTTCAGTTCACGTATCCACTCCATGACAATCTCGTCACTGTAAACGTGCTGATCGTAGGACGCAAAATATTGCAGCTGCTGGCGCACAGATGATGCACCAAGATACAACTCGGCGGGATGCCCTTGAGGATGGGCGCGCCAGTACTCAACATGGAGTCGCGGTGTTTTGGCGTCCTCGAAAGCAGCAGCTGGCGGTGACCACGGTAAATACCCAGCCCGATGAGCATGAGACGTGCTGCACAGGGGCGACAGGTAGTGATTGGGAGGTAGAGGATAGTCTGCAGGTACCAGATCATCCATCTGGAATCGCTTAATATTTAGTTCAGTTGAATCTATATGATGAGGCCCACTGACATTGCCCAGGGTGGATCCTACTTGTGTGATTATCGGGCTCAAAGACTGAACAGACAGACTTTCATCGCCGTCCTGTGGGAGACCGCCGTCCCTCATCCTCAACAGCTTCAAAGCAACTTCCCTCGTCAAAGCGACCCGATTGGGTCCCAGATTGGAGGTACATACATCAACTAACCGTGGGTGCTTGAACACCTTCTGGGCTTGTACCTTCATATTAGCACATCGGAGAAGAAAGCGATCAAAAGACATGAGCGCCGGGAAGTCCGGTGCCCCATCGACGAGTTCCAGTCTCCTCGCATCCCCCATAGACATTTCGCCAAGAGGCATGAAGGGAAGCACATACCGGACGAGGCCAACGTTGGCACCAACATCGCCCGAGCCGCCCGCCTCAAACCAGTCTTTATCTTGATACGGGCGCAAGTTCAACGGCCCAAGGACATGCATGGGTTGGCACTTCCTGTACTCCCATTCTTCTTCTGAGATCTGGCCCTTGAGGTACCGTCGACATATAACGCGTGAAAAGGCCACTTGGCTGAGGGCATAATACGCGGAGTTCATGGTAATGTTATGGCGACGACAATTAGAGAGAATGGTTGATGATACTGTTCTCGAAAATATTGAGACGTGAATGCGTGATCTAGCGGGGGTATAAGGTGTGGATTGCCTGAAGTTTCCAGGGAGGGTATGACCGCCCTGCTTCAATGTATTAGCTCTACTGTAAGGCACCACAAACTGAGCAACTGGGATGCCGACCTTGAACTGGGAGGTCCGCACTAAAAGAATCGCATAACCCAAAGCCTGCCTCCACCGTCGTTTGACAAGTGGAAGATCCCCAGAAGCCGAACGACTCTCTAAATCCCGATACATATGCACTCTCTCGTCCAGAGAAATGTATGGTGGTTCAATCCGAGATGACAGTGTGTCAAAGAATGTCCTAAGCAGTGTGCTCGTGGAGGATGCATCCGTAATGCAGTGGGCGATTACAAGCACGACGTGGAAATGGTCGCTTTTGTCTGTTCGGTGCAAAACATAAACACGAGCAAGTAACTGAGATGAAAGGCGCCGAGGCCCATCCGGAATGTCGTTTATGAAGCATTCAGCATGGTGGAAGGAATTAATGTCCATGAATGTGACATCATCAGGTCGAAGATTCGTGATTGTTTCTTCGCGTATAATGAAGCGTGGACCAGACTCGCATTCTTGCACTTCAGCCGCGATGAGGGGAAAGCGCCTTTTGACAGACGCCCAAGAACGCATGACGTTCAACTGGGAGTAAATGTCTCGATCATTGGCTTCTGCGGTGCGAAGGTGTATGTGCATCACAGTATCTAAGGCGCTGTTACAAGCACCATTCCAATAGAAGGAAGTTTCTGTGATTCCGAGTGGACGACAAAAAACGCGCCGGCCTGGAGTAGAATCCAACGTCGTCCAAGGAGAGGTCATTACGACGCACAATGAGGAGGTGCGAGAGGAAACCAAAAGTGGGTGACGACGGGGTAGATCAATAAATGCACATGCTATATCCTCTCCTCAAACAAAAATAAAGATCCGGAACTTTGTCAGAATATCACGTTAACTGATTGACCTAGAGCATATTCTGCAGACTGCTATGCCTGTTGAAGGATGCGTCTGGTCTCCAGGATGTCACAATGTGACAGGTACTGCCAGTAGCTGGGCGTAAGCCGCGTGGTCTGGTCAAGAATGTTACGCACATGCATGGGAATGACAACCATCAAGCAAATCGTGATAGAAATGATACATACAGAGTAGGCGAATACGAGGCCCCAGGTTTCAGTGGTCGATCTATATGCAACAATCGCCAACGCAAGAAGGAATTTGCAAAGGAATTGCATGATCTAGGATTGCGGCTACCAGTGGCCATGCTAGCTGCTATGTACCTCGGTCAATTCTAGTAAATTTAAAGTTTGAAAATTTGAACTTTGAACTTGACGTGGGAGAGAGCGATATTCATCACCACGCGATTATAACCCAGGGCCAACCCCGTCAGCCAGCCACGGCCGTAGTACGCAAAATCTAGCGAGGCAATGTGCAAACCGCCTGATCATGTTTCCCCACGCACGCCGACGTTCGAGCGACACATGATTATACGTGTTTTTGTGCGCTGGAAGGGTGCGATACCCCAGCAGAAAAAATGGTTTTATAAGAAACTGAGTAAATAGGCATACATGTGTAATTGAACGCCCGCGCCATCCTGCGGATTTCAAACAACAGGGATAATCACTTTGATTCACAAGCACACGCTTGACCCTGTTTGATACATTCACAATTTTCCCCTGTACCAGCGCAAGAGCACTGCGCCGAATCATAATTAGTGCTTTTCCAGTGCCAGTGCCGAAACCATCAAGGGCGTACCTTTTTAGAATGTGCGCTGTTGACACATTTCTGGCAGTTACATTGATTCTTTGGACAAGCACAGCCGGTCCCTGAGGGGCCGCAAGCTCTGTGAGAAAGTTTAGTGTGGACATAGCAGCCAGAACATATGCATGAGCACTCACGGACATTCGCTGGCGCATGCACATCCGCTGCAGGTCGCCATGATGGTTTCTGTTAAAGTGGTCGCAAGGTTAGTGCCAAGGGTTGTTCCAGAATTTATGTGACCCCTATGATCACCCTATGACGTCGGTCAAACATAGGGGCAACATATGAGGTCTCACATGCACAAGGGTTCACCTATGACCCTACCAAGGGTGTTCTGCGGTCGTGGGTTTCAAATATTCATTTGAAGTCTTGCGGAATCTGCCCAAAATCTGCCCTCTTCAGTCCCCGAGACGTACGTAGATCAGTGACGACACTCTAATGACGGGCTTTAAGACGTGTTAATGAATCCAGGGATGCGTGTGCTCAGGTCTCAGAAAGGATATATCAAGGACTGTCAAGACAGGGGGAAGATATACAGTACAATACATTGACTACTTACTACAACAACATTTTCTTTACAAAGAACAGCATGCCACACTCATGCATCATACACTATCCGCGCACCGACCCATGGGTATGGATAATTGGGCTGATAAAAGTTCCTGATCGTCCGCCGTCCAGCAAGACGCGGGATCGTAGCGTACGACGCACCAAGCTACATAGCCCATTCTGTCAATCGACAGCAAGATGAAGTGAAAGCAAAGACTTACAACAACATGGTGCTTGCCATCAAAGAAATCTGTCGAGTAACCTGGGAAGTGCTCCGTCGGCGATAGTCCGTCGTGGTTATCGAGTGGTGTCGAAGTCCATTCCCAGACACCACCGTTGCTCCCACGACCGCCGTTTGCCTCGAGACCTGCAGTCGCTCTAACAACCGAATTTGTGAGAGAAGATAAATTGGGAATTTATGGCGACTTACGGAACGGGATGCCAGTTTCTGATACCTACGTTCGCACCACCTTCGTACCCGACCTCATACGTATCGAGGAAGAGCCTTAACTCCGGTTCAGTGGGTAGCCGTCCGCCTTTACTCTTCGCGCATTCGTTGAGCATATCATAGCTCGTAAGCATCGGCCAGTGCTTCGCGACGCTTAGTGGCACAGGACCGTAGAGAGTCCGAACCTGGAAATTTTACTCAGTCTCGGTTATTCATGATCGATGGAATGACAAACCTGGATCCCCTCCTCTCCTTCTACCCAACTGGGTGGCAGACCGACTTCCTTCCTGTTCACCCACCAAGCATGGAACTCTCCGTTGCTGATGGGCCTCCACTCGGCACGGAATTTCCCCACGTGCACCCGTCGTGGAGGGCTCTCATTGTCCCAGCCGAACTCGTGTCCCTCGACCTGGTCACAAACACCTTCATCGAAGTCGTTCCCCTCGCAATCATCGTGCCCAAGGGTAATGTCCACAGGGCCAAGAGTGACAGTCGGTGAAGAAGGGGGTGCACACGTGGCGTCCCATTGCGCAGACAGCGCTTCCCAAGGCGGGGTGACAAATCCTGGTGGGGGAAGCGTCCCTGTTCCGGCACGCTGAATGAGCATATAGAGGAGTGTCTATGCCATATTGTAAGGCTCAATCAAGACGAATAACAAAAATTTACACTGACCTCGACGTGCCACCCCTCATGCTCGAGGGTCATCGCAAGCATGCGACCGATATTCCTGTTAATTGTGCGCTTTCCAGATGCCAAATCGTCGTACAACGCCAGAAGGCGCGCACGTACACGGTCGCGGAAGGCAAGGATCGTTCCAAGGGTAGGCCAATCCTCGTCCTTTGTAGGAACTTCAGTGTGTCTCTTCAATACAAACATTGACATCAGAGGAAAACAACAATAAGGGAAGTAAATACTTACATGGCAGTGTTCTGGATCATCGACATGAGGGTCAATCCCCCGCTAATGTAAGGAGTCAGGAATGATGCGTTGAACCAAGAAGTGGTTGGTACCTCAAAGATCTGCGCGAAATAAGCCTCGTTCGGCTGGTTGAGAGCACGGGCCATGAGCATGTCAAGGAATCTGTTTTGATATTTAGACTGATGACTGAGAAAACACCTGAATGAGGAACCCACGTAGGTATGTGTCCGATGTAAAATAAGCATTTGTGTCGCAGGTCAATAGGTTTCTGGTGCAGCATATCACTTGGGATCATGCCAAGTGTGACAAGATCCCAGGCAGCCCACAGGTCTTTCCATTCCTGCAAATCATCCATCAGGCACCAAACAAGATAGGGAAGAGAGCCTCAACATACTTGTTTCGTAGGGACACCCCACGGGCTCACAAGATCAAGAGGCGGGAAGGAAACAGCCGGGCGCTCGAGGACATATAGGGTGCCACTCCCACATGGCGAAGATTGTCCAAAGATCGAACGGAGGCCAACAGAGGCGAAGATATTCAAGGCTTCTGCTGGGCTTGTCTATAGTAGAGAGAATGAGCATAGGCGCGTAATGAGGCAGGATAAATTCAACAATGAAAATGTTAGCAAGGTTCAATAGAAAGGGAAAATAAGTGTTCAGAGAATCACAACTTACTGCTTTGCCAGTACTTGTGCAAACTTTCACCCATTCTTCAACTTCAATGCCCTCGCACGCTTCAGTGAAGTAACAGCTGTCTACAACACTGTGGGTCAGTATTGTCTCACGAGGTTGCAGAATTGCAATACCATCAACAAGGTGTTTCTCCCAAAATTTCCCCTCGACATCAACACAGGGTAATGTTTTGATAGCTTCTTGAATCCACCCGTTGGTAGATGGTTCAAAGTGGTTAACAAGAATTACAACCCTGTCCCCGGATCCCTTATCCAACTTCTTTGAAAAGTCTCTCAAGAATTGTACGTCGAGCAAAGTAGGGGAGAGGAGAAATTTTTTTGTGGGCTGGAAGTCAGATACGGAAGATGGTGTGTTCGACCTGGAGATCGATGGGGAGTTAGAGAGAGAGGAATCAGAGTGGTGGGACATGGGGACGCTATGCAAGAGTTCGCACTCAAAATATGCAGTTTGGAGGATGGTAATATTGAAGAGCTTAGAACTCAATGCAGATCCACAAGAGGTGAAACACTGAATTTATAGGAAAATATACGTACAAACAGAGCAACAAGTTATTATCTGAGTTTTGGGGGTCGTCACCCAGTGGACATCACATCAATTGCGGCGTAACGATAAATGGAATCATTGAGTTCGGAGTTAATGCCGACGAGGACAACATTCGCCAGATGCAGTATGGGTTCTGTGTGGTGCGACGCAGAAAGAAAGACGTAAATTTTGATCGTGGAAACGAATATTGACGCGTAAATCAAACTTAGAGCGTAAGAGAAGCAATCAGGAGGTCACAAGGATGATTGTCGATGAGCATCGGACAATATCGGGACAAACGACCAGATAGCGGAGTCTAAAAAAGGCGAGTCAAATTCATGATAGCCAGCGCAGGGCTACTTACCTGGTGAGATGCACTGGAGGTGTGAATGGGGATATAAAGTGGGGTGATGCGCTTCAGTAATTCAGTAATCATGCGAAAAGGAACATCATGATAGCGCGACGATTGGGGGGAGTTATCGACGTGTCGCAAGAGACATGGGAATTCAGATGGCTTTTCAGTGGTCCTGAAGAGTCGAACTATACGTGAAGCTGGGCCCATCATTGAAGGCTGACGGTAATTCCCAACTTGGAAGGCGAGGAGCCTGGGCGTTGATAATGTGAAGAGAGAGTCAGATGGAAAGTACGCAGCAGACCATGGCCATGATGAACGCGGTCAAGTTGACGGGGGAGGGCTACATTTCGATGCCTTGCCATCTTACTTATATGCGACAGATGTGACGTGCTACGCACTTGCGATGGTGTGCTCAACTCCCATCACGTGATCGCATCCACCGCAAAACCGAAAGAATCCATCAGTGTCTTTCATTCATGTTACTAAGTAACACCCGAACTTGAATTGCCTGCGACATATGGGCTATGGGCCTATGGCCTGCGACGTTTCGACAGCGACTGCGTGCCACTTCAAGTTTCGGGGTCCCTGATTTGATCAGTGTCTCGCAAACATGAACATATTCGAGAGAAATACTTCGAGCGTAACCCATAGTGTGCTCATTGCTTAAAGACTTGAAGCCCCTACTATACGATATTAGACTCTGCAGCAGACAGCAAAATTTCAGGCTATCTCCACCAGTTCTAGTTATCCCAATTCAAAGACAGCTATATCGCTGAGGGTCCAACTTTTTTTTCAAGTTTCAATTTGACTCTGCTTCCGCGACCAACCTCTCGTTGCCAAGTCCAAAGTATGCCCAACATGTTCCTCGATTGCAAGGGATGATTGAAACCATCCGTGGAAGTCTCCCTGGAACACATACTGTCTAATCTTCGCAGCATATCTTCTTAAGGTGCTCCAGACTTATGAGTTATCCAGCGCAACAACGGGTTCGGAAGAGGACCACTACGCCATTGGATGAGTGCGTGTAGCTGCTAGCAGCATGCTCGAGCGCGGTGAGCTGCTGGGAGCCTTTGTGGCAAAGCGGCAGAATCGACTCTTCATAACAAGAAGACGATCTGAAGAACCAAATCATTGATCAAGGGTTGATCAAGGGCAACTCATCAGGTCAGTACATCTGATATTCCAACCTACGTAAGTTGAAATCAACTACTTTTTCATGGCTGTGGAACTACAAGGTCGAACAAAAGACCCCTTTCATCGCGAACATTGCGACCAGCCTAGTCATCCCTTCTTTTATTGATGATATCTTGTGGCGTTGGACGACTCTTTGTTGGAGTGGCACACGATCGTAGCTACTGTGTGTTCATGACATGCATGATACAATCCATCTCCCTGCCTATATAAGAGACATTTAAGATGTCACATCCTCATTAGTATCATCAGCATGCCTTCCGCGCTTACCTATCCTCTTCCCGTTCTCCCTTCCATCCCAGACGATCTCGAGAATCTCGACGCACGCCATGCTTTACCTCATTTGATGGCACTTATGAAGAATACCCTCATTCGTGGTCTGAATCGCGTTCATGCTTGTGCGCCTCTTGTCCTCATCGGCCACCCCGCTGTTCTGCATTTCCTTGATTACGTGCGCTCGCTCCTCGTGCAATTGGATGTGCACCTCGAGGAGGATGCCACTTTTTTCTCCGGCAGCGCGCTGGCAGAGATCGCATCAAGCGAAGCTAACCCTGATACTCAAACTATCAGAGAACGCATAATTTCGTTGACGAGTTTGGTGTCGACATGGATTAAGGTAGGTATTTCTCTACCCTTTCTCTCGCAATTCATCACCCGTGAACAGGATGAGTCCACTTACTGTTCGAGTGCTCTATGCGAGGGACTCTCGTTTGGACCTCTGCTGGTCTCCCTTATGCATGCACAGATTGGGGTGCTTACCCCCACGCTGCTCAGCTCGATTATCTCCCACTCGGACCTTCTTGAATTGATTACAGGTGCGGACCTCTTTTCTCCAATCTCTCAAATACTAAAGGTATGACAGGCAGCGTCGGTCGTATCAGTGAACGCTCGGACATGACCTTCTTGCTTCCTTTTGTTTTGTCGCATCACGATCGTACTACCTCTACCCATTGGCCCAGGATTCCCGAAGGTTGTTCCGAGATGTTAACAACCCTTATTCTCAATCATCCTGGGTACGTTCTCCTTCTTCGCCTTAGTTGAGTCCCGCATGACTCCTCCTTATAAAAGCTGCTGGCAATTCGCGCCATTCAATCCTCTCACCCATGAGACTCAGAACTTAATCGCCATATCTGCTTAGCTCCCTTCAAGATTTTCTTTATTCATTTAAATTCCCCCATTTGATCAGGCCTACATACTTGGAGGCAAAATCAAATTTATCAAGCCGCGTGGATAACATCACTTCATCGAAATCAAGCAACACTCGATGAAGATTGTAGAACAGTTTGAACGTATAAGTATAGGTATATGACTACATCATACACGATCCCGATGCGATCGTCGTAACATGCAGATATAGCTAGTATAAAGTGATCCCTGCGTACTTGAGAGCCAGGCTTGGTGAAACAATGTACATCCATGTACTCATGTTCCGGAGTCGGCAGTCAGGTTTGTCCCTTGTATTGAAACCAGACTGTCTTGTATACTGCAACCTGCGCCACAGTTGAAGGGCTTAGTTTGATAAGCTTCACGTGTCGCCGCCTGTCATTGGAACGAAACCAAGTCATATAAAATGGACGCCCGGAAGAGCTCCCCTTTTGTTCGACCATTCTGATCAAGTTTGTTTCGATGCTCTGGCATTAATGACTCGGATCGATATAAATACAACTCGAGCAGCAGCTCTCAATGATCTGAGAATTATGTGCACTTTCAGAACTTCAGCACGTCGTACGTCAGAGTTGGACGCGCATAAGGAGCTAACGCCGTTCCGAGAGAAAAGGATCCAGTACATGACTATATTTATATTTTGATACTTATGCTGTTAAGGGCAAGGACATGAAAATCTTGTTACTACTTACAGTATCAGTCCACCACATTCTTTGGTCTCTGGTGACAGCGGCTCTAAGCACTGGTTAAAGCCAAGCATCTTCTGCGCACCACTGCCGGGGGTGAGCACTATGTAGCCCACAATAATTGCACTTGACCTATCCCAGAGCGCTTTTCCTGGAGGAAAAAACCAGAGAGTTACTCCAACTATGGTGATTGTGTCGATAACTGTTGCGATATATACTTCTCCGGCCAGCAGCAGGCCCTGATCATCGTGCGGAACAATAGCCCCTGGATTCCCACCAGTCATGAGATCAATCGATGGGGCTGAAAGTGCAAAATTGATCATGACTAGATTGACGATCACGTCTAGATCTGAAGGTTGTCTTACAAGTGACGTAACCTTTGATACATATTGTGACTGCCTTGTCCAACTCGGATTCTGCGGAGTGCTTGAGCTAGTGATATATGATAAAACAAAACACATCTTGACCTGTTAGCTAGCCAGCGATGGCCAGATAATATATGGGAAGCTAATCATATCTTCGTCGTGGTTGGGCATCGATGATCATTCGGCACAATGGGAGGCAATAATGGGGTGGTACCACGTACGCCGTAATGAAACCCCTCAAAAAGTCACTGAGCATAAGGTTCGCGAGTCATGCGAGCACTCAATGCACAGACGTCGGATTTGCGCGGTACTCGTCGCGGCATCCAGCCAATCGCTCAAAGAATCGGCGACAGAAATCGACGGATTGAAGACCTCGGGGCCCGCATCTGCTAATACTCTTGTCGGTTCATCGCTACATCGCGGAGAAGAGCCAATACGCTGAAGTAAGGTGATCAGGAGATCATCGATCATCGATCATTGTCTTGAATATTACCGACGTATCATTGTCACGGTCACCGCCTGGCATAGTAAGCGCGCACAGCGTGCCGATCACGTGGCGCCGAGATGCAACGAGGCTTGAGCATTGCGAAGAACTTCCAACACGTCTGGCAAACCCAGCAGCCACGGCGTTGGCGCTGTATGTCTCTGACCACCACCACCACCACCACAATCATCAACGAGTCACCATGAACCGACTACGCTCCTCACGTGCCCCTTCCCCAACACCTACTACCTTCTCCGGAATCTCTAATTACCGTACAGAGTCCTATCGTCCGATCAAGGATAAAGGCAATGTCCCAGCCGTACCAGCCGTAAACTCTAGGGTGGTTGCACGCACGCATTTTGATGAATTAGCCAGTTTTCTAGTGTCCTATCTTGTGAAAGGTGCGGCCTGGTTGTTTCATGTAAATTTCACCGCCATATATGCTGATGCCGCGTATCTTCAGCTCCGCAGGAGTCGCGGGCTCACGCACGCTCAAAATTGACTAATCTTACCAGACAACAGTTCCATGAGCTGTCAACTGATGTGTACGACGAGCTCGTCCGACGTCGAAGAAACTCTCCCGAGAACGACGGTAAGTCACCTGACCTACATCATACTATTTGACCAAGCCGCATCTCCAGTCCCATTCCTTCCCGTGCGAGATGAATTTCATCCTAAGCGAAATCAGGCGCGCCAGAAATTGGCAACGCTGCCCAGCGCCAAGTTTGAAGATCTTTGTAGCGACGTCTACTATGAAATCATGAGAAGATATCCCGAATTTACAGAGGTAGGTAGTTTAATCATTGTCTAATTTATGCTAAATCTGGTGCTAGATGGAGGACCCAGGGGTAGCGTCTCCTGCGTCAGCATACGACGACGTACCCTCGCCCGAATTCCACACTTCCCCTCGACCTGACATACCCATACTCCCGCCCAGTGTCCGCACAGGGCGGCCATCCGAAGATCGGGGCAGCTCACGAGAAGAAGAGACTCGGCGGAGCGAGGACACCTACGCTTCCCGACGAAAAGCCTCCCAGGACCATGGGGCAGATTTTGGGCGAAGACCAAGTGCCTCCGCGAGTATCCGCAGTGACTCGACAGGAACCACAAATGCGCAGAGTGCAACTGCAACGAGCGGAATGGTGATCCCAAATAAGAGCACCATTTCAGAGGAAGACATCGAGGTGCCGTACGGGCGGGAGATGCGGGAGAGCTCTGGAACAGCCATCGATACACGCGAGGGTGTCAGGGAGTTGGATACCACCGACGGTGAACATGAGCACTGGGACCATCGGGGTGGGCTGAATGGGCTCAGCGCACGGTTGAGGAACGTGCATACGGAAGACGATGATGTGGGCGATGTGAGGAGCGACGAGTATGATAAAGTCTCTCTAGGACGTACGTCAGTGACGTCCGATCGGTCCATCGGCGGGTCGAGGATGCCCAGTGCAGCGGGCGATGAACAAGAGCGGCTGAGGCGAGATTATGAGTTCAAGATCGCTACGATGCAGAGTCGTATCACGAGTCTCGAACGAGACCTTGAGCAACGGGAGTTGGACACGCAGCAAATGGCACGCCAATTGGAAGAGGAGCTAGAAGGCTTCCGAAAGGCAGGTCCTTAGAGTATTTTCCTCTGATAGTCGCTGAGTTGAGCCTACAGCGTGCCGAAGAGCATGGATCTGCTATGAAGGCGTTGAAAAGGGAGCTGGACGATCTCCGGGACCTCCGGGCAAGAGAGAAGGAGCGCGAAACCAGACGAGCACAGGCCGACGAGGAAGAACTACAGATATTACGTGACCGCTGCGAACGCCTCGAGGAAGAGCGCAGTTCTGGCTTCGGAATAGTACGTCGGTAATCTGAAGTCGATGGTGGTAAATCTGACGTCTTTTGCAGGACAACAGCGAAATCATCGAGCAGTTACGTGGTGATATGGAAGGGTTGATGTCTGAACTTAGCGATCTGTCGCGCAGAAATGACGAGTTGATGACCGCGAAGGATTCAGACCTCACTGTGATCCGTGATCTGGACAGCCAGCTCAAAGAATACAAACGCAAGTATGAGCAAGCTAAAACCGAGCTCAGAAGCGTCAAAGGTTTGCAAAGATATTCTATGCAAATGACTCTTATCTGATATTTTCTTTCTCAGCAACATCCCAGCTCTTCCTACAAGCGCCCAAGATGGAAGACCAACTGCCAATGGGTCCTGACGGGGGTCTCGTCGACATCCATGTCACCGCCTTCGTATCTGCTATTGATAGTCTTTTGACAGCTGGACGTTCCAGCGCTCCGACACGTGTCCTAGTGCCGATGAAAGCTGTCGTCACATCTACCACAGCCATGATCGATGACGTCCGTGCATACGAACAACGCCCATCCCGCGCGGACGTCGACGTCGATATCCTACACACTCTCCGCGAGCGCGCCGAGGCCACCCTGACCAACCTTGTAGCCGCATCCAAGACGCATGCCACCGCATCCGGCATGTCTCCCGTGAGCCTATTGGACGCAGCTGCGAGCCACGTCTCCGTGACTTTGACAGAGATCGCGAAGATGATTTACATCCGCAAGGCTAGCCGGGCCGAGCAGGAGGAGTTCATGTCTTCCTCAAGCTTTGGTTCGCTGTCGTATCTATCTTCTGCGCGGTCGACGGAAGACGTGAGACCGAACTTTGAACGCAAGGTCTCCAATTATAGCACGAAGCGATCAGAAGATGTTGTTTCGCCTCCTATGAGCGCAGCATCGCGCTTTGCGGAGGCTCATAGCAGACGAACACCGTCTGAGCCATCTAGCTCACTCACAAGTTCACCTCCGCCTATATTTGACAAGTCTCCTATCACCAGTGCACTGGGTGCAATAAGCGACGATTCAGCACCGCCTGAAGGCGGCGAGGACGCATGGTCCGAGCTCAAGGTCAGCTCTTCTAGTACACATATCCTTTTTCTCGACTGACAAACACCACTCCCCAGCCCTACCTGGAAGCGCAGACTGAGTCCATCGTCTACGCGATCCAAAGTGTCCTTTCCGGTGTACGCAGCCCTGTGCCGCCCCCGACGTTAAACGAGAACCTGACTCAGATTATTACGATTGTGTCGAGTATTGTCGCGGTATGCAGCGACAACCTACCCCCGATTTCTGCGCAGCAGGGTGCAGAGCTACTGCGGGAGCTAGGCGAACATGCGCGGAAGTTGTCTGAGGTACAGACACTGCCGGAAGTCACAAAGGAATCGCGGCAAGTCATGGCCAAGTCGAGTTTTGCAGTCGCGAATGCGATGAAGGGGCTTATGAAGTTGTGAGTTTGAGGAAGGTGCTGTGTGTGATGCGATTAGGATGGATGGCTGGCCCATGCATTGACCGCATGTGATGGTAGTAAGACATGTGGATCTTCGTTAATTATGATATGCTCCTTGTAGTTCAGTTGTTGAGATACCCTTTTCAAAGGATCCATTTCTGTCATCCATGATCGTCGGTAGATCTAGCACTTAGTAGATTACTTGCAGCTATTTGCACTATACGGTGATAGAGAATACCCTACCGTAACCACGCCGTATCGATCTTGATTCTTTGAGGACTCATGACAATCTGTGATCTGTCCAGTGTCTGCTGTCGGCCCGCGATGTAAGTAATAGCACGTGACTATCTGTCTTCCGGCCCGTCATCGAGGAAATTCGATTATGCAGGCACTCACTGGCCTGTAAGTACATCATCATTACACTACAACTAATAAGTTATGCCTTCACCGTAGAAAAGCAACCTTTAGCTTGATTTGAACTTTCCTTCAAGTGAAGACATGGTAAACGCTGGACAAATCTCCGTCCATCGTGCCATCCCACTGAAAGAAACGCTGTCACCGACAATGGACATTAATGGATTATCTGTACAGCCAAGCCTGTACAGTGCAGTTCAGATCACGAGAACTATCCACAAGACCATTATCGAATGCGAACGAAGCGCACTGTCTATGGGCTTGGCCTGAACTTGCTCGTCACCAGGCGCCAAGTTGCTATCGAATAGCTTTACATTCTAATTATAATATCCCATCCCACCCATGGCACTAGGCTGCTCCTTCCTGTTATCGTTTAAGGCAGCTGATCACAAGTCTACTGTTCTTGATTCTCTGGCCTTCATTTTGTTATCGCTGCGGGCACGGGACATGTCATGCGCCCGCAAAGAAGATACGCGTATCTGACAGTTCCTCTCGCAGCAGTTTCTCTCAGGTACGAGATTATACATATATCACAATAAATACTGAATCGTATCTGTGCTTTCTCACTCTAGATCTCCTAACAGTGGCTATAGTGTCCTCCAAAGGCGCAGCGTCGTACGAGGCTAAAGCTCGCATCTTCCGGGAACAACTTGAAGCCAAGATTCCTGAATCCAATCTGTGCTATCTCCCTCTCCCAACAATGGATACAATGTCCTTCAAAGAGAAAATCAAAGGCGTAGGCGGCGATGCGTCGTATGAGGCAAAAGCTCGCGTCTTCCAGGAACAACTTGAAGCCAAGATTCCAGCGAATCTCAGGCTCCCACCAGCGGTTCTCGAGGACCCACCTCTTGATGTTACACGCATCCCCGAGACATGTGGCTTGCTCACCCCCCAAGAATTGGCTATTACTGAGCTAGATGCAACTTCCGTGTGCCAAAGGATCGCCGCAGGCAATCTGACAGCAGTCGATGCTGTCACTGCCTTTGGAAAACGCGCAGCCATTGCTCATCAGCTCACAGCTTGTCTCATAGACTTCTTCCTCGACGAAGGCATAAAACAGGCGCAGCAGCTGGACGAGTACTTCCAGAAAGAAGGCAAGGTCATCGGTCCACTCCATGGATTGCCCATTTCAATCAAAGTAAGTGTAGAGTGACCAAATCACGATCATGTACCTCAGATGAACGCCGTCAGGGCATGCTCCCAGTCAAGGGGACAGTTGGGTCTGCAGGCTTCCTCGTGAATATCGAGACTGCGACCGAAGACTGCGATATGATAAGAATCCTGCGTTCACTAGGGGCAGGTAAGTAATTTACACCTGGAACTGCGTTATGTCAGTCAAGCATATTTGTAGTCTTCTATGTCAAGACGAATCAGCCACAGACTCTGATGCACCTTGAGTCCAAGTCTACCTACGGTCGAGTTGTAAGCCGTCTCTCGAGTGAAAAACTCGTTTTTGTGACCAAAGTCTCATAGTTGAACCCTCACAATACGGATCTTACTGCGGGAGGATCTTCTGGCGGTGAATCAGCCCTTGTTGCTATGAAGGGCTCTTGCATAGGTGTGGGCACGTAAGTCTGTAGTTTTCCACATCGCATCAGAAGTTGACGCGTTGTCAATTAAGCGATGGCGGAGGATCTATTCGAGCCCCGTGCGCCCATTGTGGTATATATGGGTTCCGTCCATCCTGTCGGACGACGCCTCTCCATGGCGTCTTGTGGTAGTAAGTATGCAAAGCTCTGCCGAGAAGTTGTGTTGACATCGCCACAGCCAACCTGGCCAGGACGGATTCTTTAGTTCCGTAGGTCCAATGTGTCGCTCAGCACGAGACATGCGACTTTTCCTCGAAGCTGTAATTGGAGCCAATCCTGCACTCCTGGACCCAGATGCGTTACCAGTGCCTCTGAAAGTGCCAGACCTGAGCCGGAAGAAACTGCGTGTAGGAATCATGATGCACGACGGAATTGTGATGCCCCATCCCCCAACCATTCGAGCACTGAAATGGGCGAAGGAAAAGCTGGAAGCCTCGTCAGAGGTTGAGGTGGTGGACTACACCCCATATGACCACGATCGCGGATACAGCATAGTTGTGAGTCTGGTGGTCTGTAGGGCAATAATGGCACTCACCTGTTCTAGCGCGAGCTCTACTTTGAGGAAGGAGGAGCGACAGTTCGACGTCTTTTGAAGGAGGGTGGAGAAGAGATGCTTCCCTTGACAGAATGGGTCATTAGTCCACCACACGTGAGAGATCACGATGCCGCGCAAGTTTGGAAGGCAAGCCAACAATTTGTTGCCCATCAACGCTCGCTCTGACCTTGATCAGCTGCGTAATGAACGTGATAATTACAGGAGGGAATACTCTGATCACTGGTGGTCCCAGAACGTCGATGTCGTGCTTTGTCCACCCTTCCCAGGTACAGCCAGCCGACACGACACCGCAAAATACTGGGGGTGCGTAATGGTATCTTGCTTGACATCAGACATCTAATAGCTCATTAGCTACACGGCCATCTGGAATTTGCTGGACTACCCAGGGACGGCTTTCCCATCAGGTTTTGTCGCTGATCCAGCCATTGACATATATCAGGAACCATCCAACCCCATGAGCGCGGCGGATGAGTACAACATCTCCCTTTGTTAGTCTCTCTGTCTCGTGTTGAATAGCATCAGTTGACCCCTGCACACAGATGATCCAACGAAATTTAAAGGGGCTCCTGTATCGCTACAGATCGTAAGCCGAATATTTAACGACGGATTGGTGCTGGCGGCACAGGAAGTAGTTGAACGCATACTCAAATCTTAGGCACATTATCGGTTGTCATATTTAATTTATCAAGCCTTCCGATACCAGTGTTGTGAAGCGCGATGAAAACTGGAGGTTGTCTGGGTCGTTATCGTCGATTATCTATGTCAAAATCCATATTACTAGTTTTGTTGAGTTTATTCACGTCCAAGGCTTCTGCTGAAATTAAGAACAGTCCCTGACTCCCACAGTTGGTTGGAAATGTGCACCTCCCTCTCAGTCGAACCGATTCCAAATCTGTTCTTGTTGGACGGTGCAGATTCGAAACCTGCCTTGCAAGCAGTTTTTTCTGTTGTCACACCTGCACATCTGGTCTAAGCCCGGTGATTAGTGCAACAAATCCAAAACTTGTTTCTGAATCCTGCGTCTTTGAAACCTGCCGATAACTGTCTTCTTCTCGTGATCACCCCTTCAATTTAATAGGCCCTCAAAGGCACACCACTGTCCATTATAATGGAGGGTGCAGGTTTGAAACCTGTTGACATTCACGAGGACATTCTCAAGATTCTCAACCAGTCATAACAACCCCCTTGATTCGTTAGTTGACAACCTATCCAATTAATTCATAATAATACATAGTACATAATATAGATCGAAGCAAGGGATGAATAGATGAACATGGGCTAATCATCCCCCCCCCCCCCCGTTTGGATTCCTTAGCCCCGCCACTTCACAGGAGTTTGTGCGAAGAAATCCTCGTCGCTGACCACCTCTATTCCGTGCCTGCAATAAATTAGATGAGATCATGAGAGTCATCCACAAAATCACTCACATTCCCTTCAAATGCGAGCGGAGCGCATTGAAGTTCATTGACCTTAACTTGCTCTTCTTGTTTCTCTGGCGACTCTTCTGGTCCATCGTTTGCGACTCCTTCGCAACAGGTTCCGATGTAGAGACCTGCTCCTCGCCATCCGCGTCGGCACCAGCTGGAATGCAATGACGGCACCGATAATTCACCTCGCTCCTCAACTTCTGTGACTTGGGACCCATGTCCATAAGTTTCGCAGACAAACCTGCCTCAAAAGCATGCTCTGGCCCTTCTCCTTTGGGCAGTATAGCTACCTGCATATCATCATGCCGGTGAGAGTGACCAATCTACGCGTGATAATGGTGAGCTTCCCTCCACGAACAAGATCGAAATAAAGAAGAGTGACTTACGAGGGTGGGAAAGTCCATGACGATGAATGCGTGTTTGCAGGAAAGGCACTGAATATGTGCTCCAAGCATCTTGACCGTGTTACATGCCTCCGCATCTTCATCGGTAATTCCGATGAGCGCCAGGAGGCGGGCAACTGCGTTTGACGCCTGTGAATGAAATAAACATTGGAGGAGCGTATCCCTTGAGCTGATAGATCCTTCGGTGGAACATCAAACAACGAACCTTCCCATCTTTTACGAAGCGATCAGCATTCCAGTCCACTGGCTTCTTGTTTTTCTTGTCATCACTGGGACACTCATGTGCACAGACACCTGGAAAATCAAGAGATCGTTCCATTTCGTACCGCTTTGAGACCTTCTCGCATCTCTGGCACCTAAAACGCGCAGTGATCCTGTCTAGTGGATGTAGCTTCGTCTTGCTCGCACTCCTCCACTTTGGAAACCCGAGCAATTCAGACAGTTTTTCCCGTGCAGACGCCATCCACGTCTTTAAATCAGCTGCAACAAGTTCTGCGACGAGGGGCGAATTCTTCATGTCCTTCGCAAGGCCACTAGAATTGGGCCTCGAACCCGTCACGCTCCCCTGCATGGTCATCATCACAGAGAGTTTGCGGAACTCATAAAGTGAGGGGACGATTGTTCCAGCGGACCGTAGGCGATTGTAGTATTGTTCGACATCGTCGCGACGCTGGCGGTAAGATTCTTCATTTTCTCTATTTTGACGATGTGTTTGCATTTTCAAAAGTTGGGTTTCGACAAGAGGTTTGATCGGAAGGAAATCTGAAGGATGGAATCGGGTAAGACTGTGATTCATCTCTATGAGCCCTAGCTCATTCACATACCGCGTAGTGTGACTTCCTCCAGCGCATAAGTCTTGTACCTATGTAATGAACCATAGGCTTGAGAGTTAAGCAAATCATGCATATCCCAGCCTTCCCCGGAAGCACATGCTTGCGCCCTGTATTCCCATTAAGCTTTTTCTTTGTGATGGTAAGTCAAGTCCCATTTACCATGTTTCGTTTTGAGTCTTGATGGTGCGGTACATAGTGTCATAGGAGCACTTCCACTTCTGTAACGCAACTGCTAACTTAACTACTAGTCAGTTTGGCTCAGATTCTTGCAAAAAGCACATACCTCCATGACCTTTGGAAATTTCGCAATCTGATCAGTGCATGCCTAGAGGACTATATCAGATAATTCCTAGAAATGTCAAGGTGTGCTCATCCAACCTTCCGCAGCTCCTCAGAGGGAGGTGGAGATAGAGCTGAGAACGCTGTATAATCGCGTCGAAAACGCTCCCACTCTGCCTTCCTCATCAATACGTTGGGATTCTCGGGCCCTGTAAGTTCAATTAAGCCACTCAAGACTCGAGAATAGTGCACAAAAAATCATACATGCTTTGTCGAGGTTTGAGTCTGAAAAGTCGTGATTAAATATGAGGATGTTCGGAAACTGGAATCCATTACCAAAGCAACGGGTTGACTCAACATAGGGAATCCATATCTCATCGCGTGCGTGACCATTCATAATAGAGGTAACATCTATAAGATATCTCCTGCAAAGAAGTAATTAATAATCAGACTCATTCACTCACTGGCAGTTGAGATTTGTCTCACCTGATATTCTTCGTGCAACGCGACTATTATCGTGCTCAGCACACATTGCAAGAAGATGGAAAGCTGAGACTCACATCACGGCATAAACGAATTCGTGTAGCAAAGCTCGCATAGAATTCGTTTGTGTTTTTCTGACACACCTACATAGACCAATTACATCACCATCAGTCCACATTATTTCCACTCAGGGGAAGAGAATCTGACTCACATCACAAGACCCCCCATCATACACGAACGCTGCATACGCCGCCTCGCTAAAGTTTGGGGTGGGATCAGGCAGTGCGTGAGGTAAGCACTTGTTGCGAATGGTACGCCAGATGAAGTCGGCAGCAGGATTGCAGACGAGGGTTGAGCATAAAAGCTTGGATGTGCGAGCAATAGATAAAACGTCGCGAGGAGAATCAGTTTGAATCAATATTTCTGCAAGAAGCTCGAGCGGCAGCGTTGGAAAAAGACACCGTCCTGGTACACTTTTGGATTCTGGGAGAAGCTCTGGTACGGAAGTACGACGTTTCTTTGTTAGAGGGGATGTTGGAACATTAGGTAGAGGAACAGGGTCGGTGCTTTCACTAGGCATGGCTGCTACTGCTAGTAGCTAGCGGTAATCAACTTGAAGTGATAGGAAAAATTAGAGAGCTTTCAATTACAGATGCGGCTGACTTGTCCAGGGAACAAAGGGCCCGGGATGCATCCGGATCCGAATGATTCGGCTGGATCGGCTACTATTTACATAAATAAAGTTTGAAACCTGGATCACTTTACATGTACTTTGAACCTCCGACATTTGACGTGTGTCTTAGATCTTGGCATTTGCGTTTTGACCCTTCCGTGCTCTTCATATCGTCTGCGACGCCAGGGAGACTGAAGAGATCATGATCCCATAGATGAGCAAACAAAGATTCTCTGCAGCTACGCCTCGCCAGCGAAAACCTCATCGACATACATAGTGGTAGGCATGATCGATCAGGAAATGCATTCCGACAGTGGTACATTCAGCAAGGACTCAGTGACTCGGCTACTCACCTTCGAGGGACTCGCAATGAGATCGATACCGCTACGCAAGCTAGACAGTCAACCGTAAGCAAGAATGATCGATTAGAGGTGTCAGAGATTCCCATCGCTCTCATCTCATCTCATCTCATCTCATCATGAAGGTCTTCGTCTCTCCTCTGAGAGATATATGGGTGTTCCGTGACTATGGGCCCGTCGGAAAAGCATCACATTCGTTCAGATGCAGTGGGAGAATTGCTTGAACCCTTTGTATGAACTTACTATGCGTGTGAGACGCCCTCGCAACAAGCGGACGTTGCCTCGGCAGAATGCATGGGCAAAGGGTTACGAGTACACTCATTACTTCCGTGAGGGTGACTTGTCTTGAGGCTTCCAAGAGTCTGTATGCCATGGTCGTAACTTCAGCTTGTGTCTCCATTGCAATAACACATCTGAACCATCAAGAAGAGCATTAGCCGGGCAATTTCTAGATGCACTGCGATCGTGTGTGCCAACAGGGTATAGAGTGCTTGTGTGGATCACATATATATTGCAATGTACAGAGGAAAAAACATGACGAAAGGAATGGACACAAAAACACGACGAACGACTATCAGACTAGACACCTATGTGAATAAATACAATCTGTTGTTCCAGTGGAAAAATATCACTTTTCTTGCGCAGTGTCTTCACAGCCTTATGTAAAGCTACAGCAGCACGTGTGCAGTCCAATCTCCCTGAGCTATCAACCATATTGTCGTAAAAAGTAGCAACAATCTGGCGTGCAACGTTATCGTCGACAGACCACATAGAACCTATCACACTGCGAAATCCAGCGAATTGCATCGCAGCAGCGAGATGGATCGCCTCGTCAGGGCTCGACTCATCGCCCACGGTAGTATGGCAAGCCGACAAGAACGCAAACTCCGGGCTCTGCCAGCGAGATTGGATGATGTCCCTGATCGTCAAACGCCCATCGCGCATTGCAAATGAAGCTTCGAACGGTTGCTTCCGATTCGGTAAACCATGGCAGGCAAGGTGAACCCACTGGTTTTGGCGTAGTGCATCAAGTGCTCCTTGAACAGTTGCGTCGCTGTCCTCGAGCGACGTAAAGGGCAGGACAGTTGCGACACGTTGGGCAACAGCGGCCAACTCATCAGAAACAAACTGGAGGCTCTTCTGTCCTTCCGGGTTTGCTTGGCCAATGGCAACGAAACGATCCTGGGATTCATTTCGGGAAACCTGCTGCCTGGCACGAATGAGTGCGGCCAAGGTCGGGGTGTATGAAGAGATGTAGAAATGAGAAAGGTTATGAGTGTTCAGCCCATATGGTCCTGCTGCATGGAGAGGAAGCAGCGTGAACTCCGCGGTAGGACACCACCAGATCCGTGAGCCGCGTGGAATAAACTTCCTGAGCGCTTGAACTACGGGCTCAACAACACCATCCCAAAGCTGGCGTAGGATATAAACGATCTTGTATGATTCGACTTTATGATTAGATAAGCCGGCATGAGCCGTGAGGGACTGGAACTCGGAAGACAACTCGGAGACCTCAACTCGTGCAATATCAAGTGGAATGTGGACAGGATCTTGGTCAACCAGGATAATCAAGGCGTCGCAGCTGTACTGGCTTGCATTGACAATGATAACCGCTCCATTTTCTGCCGCTTTTTGAAGGTCAGAGAACAGCGGAGGTAGGAGAAAACGGGAAAATTGTGACAACATGCGAATGCGAGAGATCAGGTCATCCCATTGCATGATAGATTGCCGGATTTGTGGGGACTGATCTGCAGTGGATGCATCTAACGCGGTGCGAAGGAGAGAGCTGAGATGCCTGACCTCTTCTGCCAAGGCATTACCGGTGTCACCTGATGCAGAAAGCTCGTCCAGTGGTGTGCGGAAGCGTGCCAACTGAGTCCAAAATATTGCACGACCTTGCTCCACCAACTCCACAGCAGTCGACAAAGCACCGCGACGAACGCAATACGAAAAAGCATCCATTGCAATAGACGAAGCGTCCAACCTAATGGCATTGAAATGATGTGTAGAAAACATCATAATGGCAAGGTGCTGATCCAGGAAGTTCAAAGTGGTCTGATAAGCAACCAATGCGGAGCTATGCTTGAACTGCTCGGCAGAGGCGACCCAGGTCATGGCGATAGAAAGATCTACACGAGAGACTGCATGGGATACTTGGGGGAGTTGTAAATAAAGCCTAAATGACTCGTCCAAGTCTGATGACAGACCCTGCCGATGAAACCTGTCTTGAAGACCAATGACCAAGTTGTTGATTGATGTGGATCGTTCAGAATGGCCAAGAGGATGGAGATCCAATGCAGCGCGATGGAGCTCGATGGACTCATCTAAGTCAGATATGTCACCCCGCTGCTCAGATCTGCAGTGAAGGCTTGCTGCAAGGTTGTTGAGGGATAAGGATCGTTCAGAATGACCAAGGGGACAGAGAATCAGTGCAGCTCGATGGAGCTCAATGGCCTCATCAAGGTCAGACGGCACACCCCGACACTTGAATCTATCTCCGAGACCTATGGCAAGGTTGTTGAGAGACATGTGTCGCTCAGAATGGCCGGGGGGGCGAAGCTCCAGTGTAGCTCGATGAAGCTCGATGGACTCATCTAGGTCAGACAGGGCACCCCGATGCTGGAATCTGTCCCGAAGGGTGGTGGCAAGGTTGTTGAGAGTCGAAGATCGATGAGAATGTCCAGAAGGATGCAGCACCAATGCAGCTCGATAGAGCTCGATGGACACATCCAGATCAGCGAAGACGCCACGCTGCCTGAATCTGCGTTGAAGGCTAATGGCAAGGTTGTGGAGAGACGAGGAACGATCAATATGTCCAGGAGGACGGAGCTCCAGTGCAGCCTGATGAAGCTCGATGGACTCGTCCAAGTCCGACGTGATGGCACGTTGCACGAATCTGTGTTGAAGGGTAATGGCGAGGTTGTTGAGAGACATGGATCGATCAGAATGACCAATGGGGCGAAGCTCCAGCGCAGCTCGATGAAGTTCAATAGCCTCATCAATGTCAGATGGCGCACTCTGCTGCAAGAATCTTTCGTGAACGCTTGTGGCAAGGTTGTTGAGACACATCGACCGATCAGAATGGCCAGGAGGACGGTGTAGTAGCGCAGCTCGATGGAGGGCAATGGCCTCTTCGAGGTCAGGCAGGTTGCCCCGCTGCTGGAATTGTTCATGAAGGCAGTTGGCAAGATTGCTGAGAGACGTGGAATGATAATGACCGGAGGGATGGAGCACCAGTGCAGCTCGATGGAGCTCGATTGCCTCATCCAGGTCCGACAGCGCACCCCGCTGCAAGAATCTGTCTCGCAGGCTGTTGGCAAGGTTGTTGAGAGACGAGGATCGATGAGGATGGCCAAGGGGACTGAGTGCCACGGCAGCCTGATGGAGCTCAATGGCCTCATCCAGGTCAGACAGCATTCCCCGGTGTTGGAATCTGCTTTGAAGGGATATAGCGATATTACTCAAAGACAGAGATTGATTGGAATGACCAGGGAGACAGAGCACCAGAGCAGCTCGATGGAGCTCGATGGCCTCATCCAAGTCAGACAGCATGCCCTGCTGCTCAAATTTCTCTTGAAGGCTGATGGCAAGGTTATTAAGAGACATGAATCGGTCAAAATGGCCAGGGGGGCGGAGTAGTAGTGCAGCACGATGGAGCTCAATAACCTCATTAAGATCAGACATCATGCCCTGCTGCTGGAATCTGTTTCGGAGGCTATTAGCAAGGTTGTTGAGAGACATGGATCGATCAGGATGGCCAGGGGGACGGAGTGCTAGCGCAGCTTGATGGAGCTTAATGGAGTCATCCAGGTCGGACAGGACACCCCGCTCCTCGAATCTGTTTGAAAGACAGTTGGCAAAGCCATTGAGAGAGATGGATCGTTCAGGATGGCCAGGGGGGCAGAGCTCTAGTGCAGCTTGATAGAGCTCAGTGGACTCGGACAAGTCAGACATGTCTCCTCGCTGCATGTATCTGTTTCGAAGGCTGCTGGCAAGGCCATTGAGAGACGTGGATCGATCAGGACAGCCAGGGGGATGAAGCGCCAGTGCAGCTCGATGGAGATCGATGGATTCAGACAGGTCAGACATGTCTCCATGCTGAAGGAACCTTTGTCGAAGGCTACTACCAAGATTATTTAGAAAAGTTGGTCGACGAGAATCGTCGAGGGGACACTCCTGCAAGCCCGCCCGACACTGCTCCACATCATCTGTGAAGAGAAGAGTTGAACGGTGTGAATGGAAGGCAAGCTTGAGATTGCGACCGACCCATTTCACTGTTAAAGATCTCGCTAATGAGTACAAAGGGAACGAATTCTGAGTTCTGAGGGACTTAATCAATTATGGCAAGTCGAATACACTCCAGGCTAACATACCTGCACGTGTCGTCCTTGATGCCCTTGCAGAAGCCATCTGAGCCACGGTGAGGTCTTATATACCTGCCATGGCTTCGGATCACTAGTTGGTTTGAGAATTCTGGTAAGAGACCTGGAACCAGCGTGGCTAGAGACCCTGGGCCTAGAGTCTAGACGTGGGTATTTTCAGTCCTTGGCATGATGGAGGAGAAAACTGGCTGCGGACAGGCCGCCGCCCAGGGGGGAAGACTGGCTGCAGACAGAATCCCATCGTTGCTGGAATGAGCCATGACAATAAGCTGTCGACCTGCAGCTTGAACGTTACGATACCAGGGGCCGGGTACCATGTTCGGATTATTTTGTGTGATAGACCAAATCCGTTAATGAGGAAAACATTCCCAACAATCAAAGAAGTTGATGAGATTAAATTTCTACCTAAAGTGAATTTTGTTTTCGTAGTGCTGCTGCAGGCAATAAAAACCCTGCAGTTGTCCGAGTCAGTGGGTGTAGCGTGAGATAACTTTGTGAGTAGCGGTGATCACAGTCTGAGTCTGACTGCGGACCCAGGGAGGAAGACCTAAAAGAGTGGACAAAAATCACGAGACCGAGACTACATATGGCCGCTGGAATGAGCCGTAACCCAGATGGTCGATTTTCATCATCATGGGGCGCAACTTGAATACAAATTTCTCGGAATCCGCTTGATAATCTTGGACTTCCAATGGTGCATTGCTGAGTTCAATATATGATTCAGTCTGCAATTAAAGTCTACTGCTGATCGGCCAAGCAGGAATCTTTGTTCGGTGACCGACACGAGTTGAAGATATAAGGAAAGGGATAGACGCCTAGAACGAATCTGTGTATATACTACCTTGCTGTTCAGCCTCATCAGATTTTCTGGAATTTTCGCACCTAGCCCTGAAACACGCGTCCAAAATCAGGCCTTGACGAGGGAGTAACTACTACCGTGACTTCACGCACGTTAGGGCCGCCTGAGACCCTCACCCAAACTAGAGTCTCCAAATTTATCTCCCAACCAATTTGCCAGTACATGAACACCAACAACTTCTCTGCGACTCCCAAGGCCATCCACACGCATGCGATTCATCCAGGCGCTGGCAAGGATTTCCGATCTGTAGCAGCTTCCAGTGCATACCTCAAACCGCGGAAGAAGCGAATTCTCCTACAATGTACGCATTGCCAAATGACATTGAAGAACCCTCGGAAATGCTCAAAGGTAGTACTCAAATATCTTGATACTATTGCGGGTGTTCATAGAGTGTCGCAAAACGCTGCTTAGTGTAAGAGTGTCTGGTATTGCTCACAAAAGGTAGAGTTTGGAATTAAACTGAAGTCTCTGAAGCGCTAACGTTGTGTGTCATAGTGTCAAAAGAAAAACTGGTAAGAGTGCTGCCTATGATCGACACCAGTCGAGCCTCACTTCAGACTCGGACTCCACTCGCGCACGTCATGATAGGCCCACCCACAAACTAACATGCCACGAAACCGATCGCTCATCGGGGTCACTCAAATTCATACGAATGTTCATTTCAAATCCATTGATCATGGGGTACCTTAAAATTGGTATCATCTTTGACTGTGGCCTGCTTGACAAACCCGGGATCGGATTCGACGTGCCGTTCGTGGCACGTGTTGACATTGGCATTGAGCCGAGTGACATTCTTGATTTCATTGGATTGTATCTCGATGACAAGGCCATTGGGGAGAAGCTTCAAGGGATGGTGCAAGTCAACGCCGTCACTCCGCGGTACCCGAGTCTGATGCGCCCCCTCACGCCGCAGCAACTACACTTATGGCGTGAGGCTCGAGCGATGTATAACGCAAAGGGTTTCGCCAAGGATCCTGTTGGACTCGTAGACTTTGTCGATGGTAGCTGTCCGGGGTACTGGAAGAACGGAGTAACCGTTGGGTTGCATATCCCCACTATTGTCCTTGACATGGCGAGGAAACGTGAGCCCTTTGTACATGTCTCTGCTGTCACAGGCACTCGGTTCAAGCAACCCATGAATGCTGTGGCGTGTCTAGAGTAGGTTATCCGTTCTTATTCCCGCCGGTACCCTTACTATTACCTTGCATAGATATATCAACGCGCATATTCGGGAAGATACGCAAAACCAGTTGCGTTTACGGACTGAGATGACAGACAAAGACAAAGAAATTATTCGTGCTGCAGGTCGCAACGAGGGCACATTTTCCGCTCGTATCCTCAAAGAGAAGATGGAAAGAGAACACTTATATGCTAATATCCCTGGACCCCACAGACGTGAAGGTCTTGGGATAAAAATATCTCTGAGCCGCCGATATTCCACATATTGTTGGCTGCCATTTGTTTTTGTTGTTTTGTTTCTCTCCCTGCTTCCCATGTTGCCATTATTAGTCCACGTCTGATAATCCTTGCCCTTTTTGCCCATCCTATCTTGTCCGTCTTCTGTGCATCCTCCCACTGCTCCCCCCTGCTACTCCGAACTACGCATCCCTGATGCATCATCGTCTCAGTTGTTCAGGGTTAAATCGCGATGTATTCTGCTTCCTCTTTGTCTCTTCCGGGCACTCCTCAGTCAGCGCCCCCTGTGGTACTTATAATTTCCAACAAGTTTAATGATATTGGCTCGTCGACTGTGACGTCTGGCATCTTGCATAAAATTCTCTGAGTATCATCGGGTTTCCAGAGAGCGGCTTCCTGTTTCTCAGATATCCTTGTGGAGTATCATTAATATCATTGTTTTCTGTTCCTACTGTGACATCAATAATTTTCCGATTGAAGATGACGCGTGATAAACATGGGGAGACCATTGGTAGGAGCTCATGATGTGCGTGTTTAGCATGTTGCACAGCTGATTGCCTCGCAAAGACTTGATTGTGTTTAAATATGCATTTATGTGCCCTGATAAGCGATTTCGTAGACAGATTCTCCCTGAACTGTTTCTTGTAATGTAGTATGCGTCCATTATTTCACATCAAACACCCACTAAAAAGCACCTGCACCTCCTGGGCAAGCTTTCCATGGTCCACATCGACACCATCGACCACAGCTCCAGATTCCATGCTGACAATTGTCTCCCCCTCCCCGCCGGCGCTTGCCTGAAGGAGAGGCTTAAGCGACTCCCAAAACTCCGTAAAGTCCATATCAGCGAACGCATTCGGTGGGTAAGCGCCTTCAAGATCCAGTCCAGAAGATTCGTCCAAGGCCAGCAACTCGCCCATATCAACTCCACCATCGTCATCCGAGGACAACCAATCCGACATCGAAGACGGCGGAAGCTCACTCGCGTCTCCTAGTACTCCATCCGAGTCGCTGAAGAATGCGTCGCTGTCGATGAATTCTTCCATTGGATCGTCTGTCAAAGGAAGTAGCAAAGGACTTGTAGGCGGGAGTGGCGAAGAGGGAGGAAGGGGGGATAGAGGCAACGTTATGCTGTCCTCACCAATTTCGAGGTCATCCGCCGTGTCCTGCTGCTTGACCACTGGGACATCCAGTCCTTGAAGCGCATCGTCGAGTTCCTTGCCGAGTAGGTCTTCTTCCTCGCGGTCGACGGGCTGCTCGACAGACTTGTTGGCCCATTCGAGGGATGAGCGCGAACTGAGCCCAAGTCGTAGGGGAGACATTTTCAAGGATGGTGTGCGGAGGTGGATAGGGGAGAAGACAGGCTTCTTGCTCTTGCGAGAAGGTGTAAGGGGATGGGAGGAAAAGAGCGGTGTCTTTCCAGTGCTGCCCCAAAGTGATTTGGGCGTCGGGCTGAACAGTGGAGAAGCACCATCAAGTCCAAGGCTTCGTGGCGTGACACGCAAAACTGAAGTCTTCCGAGGAGGTGTTCTGGGCACCGGAGGTGTCTCAGATACGGGGGAAGAAGGCGAGAGGGGGGATGATATAGATACGTCGGATGCAAATACGGGCAAGGAGAGCGAAAGAGCACTCTGCGACCGTGATATAGTAGTCTCTTTGACAAGTGCATGTACCATTGTACTGGAGATGTATCCCTCCTCTGAAGACAGTCCAGTCGGTGCTCCAACTTCTTGTTGCCAACATCCTGGTCTCTGTGTTCGCCGTGCAGCGCGTTTCTCCTTCTTCTCTTGCTCCACGAGCGCGATACGTTCTTCCACTTCCTTCGAGAGCTTTGGCTGGGTGGCAGTGCTCGTACGTGCCCACTCTGGCACGATGAAATTCTTGACGGGCTTTACAGGTGCCGGCGCCGAATGTGGTATGACAAAGGAGGACTGGGATTCTGATACAGAACGACACATCGGCCGGGAAGGAGATGACCTTTGGCGGAAATGCGAAGACCCGGTGGCCATTTCAGATGATACATTCGGGTCGAAATCTGAGCGAACGGTGCGGGGATAACCAGGAGTAATTGCTGGTTGAGGCGTTTCAAAAGTGCCAGATGTTCGCCCGGATTCTGACCGAGGGTGGATACGCTTCCTTCGAGCTTTATTGTTTTCCTGTTCTGCCATGAAGTCGCTAAGCCTGCGCTTGCGGGCCATGGGGGATGAATGTGTATTCTCTTTTCCGCCTGATGGAATGCGGGCACGACGCTGGCGCTGAGGGGTGGTTTCTGACTCATCTGCAGTGGTCGTGGCAAAATTGGTCGAGTCTCCCCTTTCCACCCGTCGTCGGAATGCGGTCAGATCCACATGTTCCTTTTCCAATATAACAATTTCATCGTCTTGATTATTCCGCGATACAGGCTGCAGCGCGTGCGAAGGCTGTTGATTCTGACTTTGCGCTGCTAGCAAATCCCTCAGTGCGTTTAGTAGTGCTGGACTTGGCTCTGACCCCGACGGCGTCGAATCCACCGTCGAAAGAGCAGCCAGGAGTGCCATGTTGTCTCTCCCGGCAGACAGGGCAGACAGTAACGTAAGTAAAGGAGTAGGCGTATGGGCAGAGGCTGCTACGGATTGTTCCTGTTGTGGTCGTACAAGCGGGGCACATATAAATGGTGGTGCTGCCGGCCTCACAAGAGGTTTTTGTGACTTTAATTGCTTGGATTTCTTACTCGTCCCCTCAGGGCGGCCCCGACCGCGCTTTGGAGGTCCGATGTAAACCTCAGGGAAATCAGCGGATTTAGTGAGAGGTTTGCCTTGTTCTTGTGACGAGGGTGGAGTTTCTGAGTTGGTAGGTCTGGCAGATGCAACTTTGGACGGCTGACTCCAAGTTTTCAGAGCATCAGAAAGGTGGGATTTCTGGATATGTTTCGTCTGATAGTACTATTAGTTAGAATCGGATGCTACGAATGCTGTGAATAATCACCTCTCGGAGAGCAAAGACCACTTCAAGGGCATCAAGGCCCGTGCCAAGCGTTGTAATTGTGCCAGTGGCAGTCACGCTGTCTGATTCGTCCGCTGTGAGCGCCCACGACATCAGCCCCAGCGCAACGGCCACTCCTCGTGGTTGGGTTGCTTGCGGCACTGAAACAGCTGCCGCGTTCGATTGGGAAAAATCTACAGGGGCTGGCATAGTCTGCGACTCCAATGGGTCCAGTACGTAGATGGAAAAATCCCTGGAATTGTCCAGGAGAAGCTCTGGGCTGCCAAGCGGTGGGTGCATGAAATCAAAGTCATATGAGAACACATACCTTGAGTTACAGATAGCATTGAGGCATGCTTTCAGCGGTGCTAGGCCGTACTGCGCTTTTGCAGCAGATGGAGATGGGCAAAGAGTGACCTGCACAGAAGTCGGAGACCGGGCTAGAATGTATTGAGGAGAGCTGTTGACTGTGTAAAGTACTCGTACTAATAAAGATTAGCTACGGGGAGCACCAGACTAGGTATGATTAATACATACGAGGTAGCTGGCACATTGACATCGTCCGCGTTGGCGGCAAAGACTTAGAGAAGGTCGTAGAGAAGGTCGAGACTCAAGCTTGCAGACAAATTTGGCAGTCAACGATCAGGCGCGCGTCGCGTCGCGTAACACCGTGACTGTGACATTGTCACCCGTGACCCGACGCGCCTCAATATTAACACATGACTGCAAAAATCATAATGGCCTCCAGCACTTAACAAAAAAAAATTGAGTATGAAGGAGACCTCCAGTACAATATTAATGTTCCTCTCATTCAGCTTTAACCGTACCTTGATTCAGAGTCAATGTCAAATTACATAAAAGGACAGGTGCGGCTTTCGGACTGACTTCATTTGGACAAAGTCGCCGTTACGGCTCCTTATGCTTCTGCATAAAGGTCATAGCGCGGTCCTGTTAGATGGGCACAGCGTCGCGTTCTTTCTTCAGCGCGATCACTTGACGTTTGGCATGCAGTACATACAAGGTACAATATATACGGATCATGGTCTCTGTCAATACCCCTCAGCATGAGCTCAGTGATTTAATCTGCTCATCACCGCAGCCCTGGAAAATACGTATCTCAAGTCAAATTGACCGTGTCTCAAATGCGGATGGTCGGGCTGAATGCCTGCCATCGGCTCATATTACCCCACAGCCTGAGGACACCACATAGATGTGCCTCTCTTCGGATTGAGCACACGCCTCAACTAGCACAATTCCATGTAACAAAAAAAGCAATAAATTTGCTGTATTAACACAACACTATCATATAATCGGGTATGGAAGAATATACTGTAAAGACGCGTGAGCGAGAAACGACCTGGGACAGATAAGTAGGTACATACCTGCGAGAGAAGAGATAACTTGGGCTGTTGATACAATGGAGCGCGAAACGAAGGAAGGGGCAGCATATGGGTGCCAGTATTACTAGTGTGATCCGGAACGCGCTCCGAATGGATGGGAAATATGTGAATCAAAACGGACAAAAAATTGGGGACTGCGAAATTACCAGCGAAAACAAGAGAAACAACCAGAGGGGCTTGAGAACCAATTGGCTGTACACTAACCCTCGGCTAGACGCGAACCCCGATGCCAGCCCCGCCTCCTACTGCACCTACCCCACGAAGAACATCGGCAATAATATGCCGGGGCCGAGCTAATGACAACGATCCGTGACGCCTTTTATGAAGGGAAGTCGAGAGGTTCGGCGAGGTGGATGGCGAAGAGTGAACAAGCGAATGTGTGACCTTATGCGATCGAGAACCTTTCGGCGTACGAGAAGGAATGGACACGGGCGCACTGGCAGAAGAGGGAACAGTAAGTGGAGGCTGCTCTCTATCTGCACCTGCACCAAGTCCCTCTGTCCACGGCATTGAAATGGAGGGAGCACATGAAGTCTGCGGCGACGGAGAGCGAGTCAAAGGTCGTGCGGAGATCGAGGGGGCCGTGGCAAGGACATGAGGCGACGGTGCTCGAGGTAAATTTTCATCGGACTCGGCTGTTTTTGCAAGCGAAAGGGAAGAAGATGACCTTGAAACAGGTGGTGCAAGGAACTGGTCTTTAATCGTCCTTGTGCCTAAGCTGGCCAATGATGAATTTGGACTCCCACTCGGCCTACCAAGCCCAACGCACGATGCAGAAGCAGATGGGCTTGGTGCGGGAGATGATCCGGGCGACCGACGAGGCGATGGAAGTGGGAATAACTGATCTTCATCATCCTCTCCATCCTCTTCTTCTGGTATCCGTGGAGTGGATGGCACAGCGAAGTTTGGTATGCGCAATGGCGACGACGACCGCTGCGTATCAACCATAAAAGAGTCATTCTCTCCCTCCTCGTTCAACCACACCGGCGGCGCTGTCACTACTGAGTCACTTGACCGCCGACGCTTATCAACCTCATCCACGCTGATCGGAACACCACGACCGAGCCCAAAGGAGGCGGCAGCAACGCTTCCTTTGACTGTGATGGTCCGCGGCCCCTCGTCTGCGCTGGATGAGCGCCGTCTGCGTGCTGACCGCGAGAAGTGTTCAGTCCAAGTATCTCCTTGCGACAGAGACGCTTCCGTCACGGCTTCACATGCCGCGCAGCATTGTCGCAGCGGAACGGTGATGAGACCTGAGCGAGTGGGTGACAACGACGCTGTACGCGTTGGGCGTTGTGGACTCTGGGGAGACCCGGAGGCTGCTTGTAAGAAGGCGGAAGTGCCGGATGGGGAACGTTGAACCAGACACGGGGAGAGCGGCATAGGGTCCGAACTACGAGCACGAGTCGGAGATTGCGTTTTGTTGGAGAAACTGCCCCACATTTCGGTGTTTAGTTGTGGATTATTGTACTAGCAACGAGTACACTTACCTGGGAATCGGAACTCGCAGAACGACATGACTGTCTTCTGGTACGAAGGCATCCGTTTCTGGAGACGATGAGGGCCCACCTGAGCTCGAGGGACGCCTTTTCCACAACGGCAGAGAATACGACTTTGTGACCATCCTTGGTAAACGGTGACGGTGAGGATGCTTGGGGATGAGGACGCATTGGTCGTTGAAGCGCACGCTCAGCTGGCAATGCTCGTCGTTGGCTTGTGAGCAAATATCCAAGGGAGTATGCCTGCTCGTCGACATGGTGGTGAAAAAGAAATGGTAGGAAAAGATGCGACGATTATGTATTTAGAGCGTAGGATTAATATTGTATTGTCTCCATCACGTTCATAAACGATTGCAAGAGGGTCAGACGACTTTTGTGCCTAGCGGTTATGTATTTGCCTAAATTGGATGCTTATATAATTCTCAACTTGAGCTGTTGCCACCGTTGGCAGCGGGTACAACGTTGATTTTGGTCCTGAACACCACAGGTACATCATTTTGACCATCAACGGCGGCGGTAGAATACATTTATGGCGAACCTGAATCCACACTCAGGGACCCTGCCTGAAATAAACTCGGAGGCCTCGAGCGCGCCAGCTGTCGCAAATTCATGCGACTGTGAGGACACGCTTCATGTGTAAGTAGACCCAAAGCAGCCCGAAGCAGAGAATCGTGCGAGCCAAAACTCCATCCAGAGTTTTTTATCTTGAATCAGTGCCTTATAAAGTTATCAGCCTATCTCTCGCTCTCAGAAAGCTCAGCGCACAGGATATCCCTTATCAATTCCATTAATCGATGGTCTTAGTTATAGACTAACCTACCTATAGTCCCCTTTCAACTCCCACTCCCCCAAGGCAGCCCGTCCTTCCTGCCCAATCACATCCAACGCCCTATCAATATCCCTTTCCACAGTTTTCTCAGCACCAATCGCCATCCTCACACAAAACACGCCATTCAAGTCCGTCTGCGTAATTGCAATATCGCTCCGTGCTGCAAGACGTGCGTAAAATGCCCGATTCAGATCGTTCAGCCCCGTAGTCGTGAGGTGGGAAAGGGACTTGGGTGCAAGCCTGAAAACTGTCAGTGCCAAGAACGGTTTCGCGACCAAGCAGAATTCATCAGATTCGCGTATGCGCTCTGCGAACTTGGCGTTAAGTTTGGTGCACTGGTGAGGTAATACCGAATGTCAGAACACATGTTATATTGGAAAACCCCGATTAATGCTTGACATACGTCGGTTATGTACTTTTGGAACCCCTTAACCCCACGGGAACGGAGAACAAACCAAAATTTGAGCGATCGAAACCGTCTGCCAAGGCCCAGATGCCAGTTGCGGTAATCGATCACAGTGCCTAAATCGATACAACATTCATTTCGTTACGAAATAAACCCGGCGAGGAAACGCACCCGCATCCCCATGTTTCGACCGCAAAAACTCGGGCGTGACATCTAGCGCATCGGTCAAGTGTTTCCGGTGCCGTACCCACAAACAGGAGGCATCAAAATTGATCAGGCCCCACTACAATATCTTAAGCTCTAGCCTGATATCATGAGACAGGAACAAACCTTGTGAAAATTGGTGCAGAACGAGTCTGCATAATTATTCACGGCGGGAAGTTGGCATGCCTCGCGATATTCGGGACACACCAGTGCGACGCCTGCCCACGCAGCATCGACATGTAGCCACAGGCAAGGATAATGTTTCGCTGCGTGTAGGAAGGTCAATGAGCTTTCATCAACACTTGTATGCACGCGATCAGTTATACGCACCAACGCCAGCAATCTCTCCAAGCCGATCAACAGCACCCGAAGACGTTGTCCCGACAGTGGCGACTACAAGAATGAACAACATGAATTCAACTATATGCAATCCATTGGGAAAACTTACTGAGGATGAAAGGGTGGAGCCCAGCATCCACGTCCTCCCTCAGTGCCACCTCTAGCGCTTCTCCACGTAGTGCAAAGTCGTCATCTGCTGTTACTTCCAGTGCGCGAACTTTCAAACCTAGAACAAGCCCAGCTTTCTTTCCCAATGAGTGCGTTTGGGTGGTGGTATAGAGCACGAGTTTCTCCATAAGCACGTCTGGGTGCTCACGAATATACCGTGAACGTGCAGCTACAGTTGCGATCAATGCAGAGTCAGATGCTGTTGTCTTGTGTATGGCACATGGATGAGTATGAATTGGTAATGGGAAGACGGGATGAGAAGCACACCTGAATGACACCACCACCGACCTCAGTGGTGTTGTAGAACGACTTGTCAAGTCCAAGGATTTGGGCAGTCCAGTCCATAACCACAGCCTCTAGTTCTGTGCATGCGGGGCTCGCAGACCACTACAACAGTCACGAAAATTGCGGTAGGCTGGTAATGGAGGAACGCACATTGAATCCGGGGGTTGGCGCGCTGGAGGCGTATAGCTCTCCAAGTATGCCCTCGAATGTACATGCCGTAGGGAAATAGGCAAAGAACGAAGGGTGCTGCCAGTGTGTCAGGCCTGTCAGTCCGGATGAGATGGATGAATGTGTGCAGAATCAGGGTCAATTACCAGGAATGATGTACTTTTGGTAGTCGTCCGCGATGAGTTGGAAGTCCTCGCCCTCAGTGGGGGCAGACGCTGAAATCGGAATGGTCAGAAAAAGGGCACAAGTCAGAATGAAAGTGCACACCTGGGAGTGCCTTTCTGAGATACCCTGGCTCCACTTGCGACGAGACAGGTCTGTCCCTTAACGAGATATAGTAGTCGCATATTCTATCTATGGCTTGATAACCAGCTCTGCGGAAACTGTAGTATATTAGCTATGTGTAAATATTATGGAATTAGGAAACCAGTGCAAAAGACATACTGCTCGATATCCATGGCGTGACGGCGTCAAGAAGACGGTGATTAGGTAGAACTTCTGAGTCGGTTATCCGATCTTATGAATCGCATGATTATCATGCTTGATGGGAAACTTGCAGGGATCCGAATTTCGCGACCTAGCGTTCAAGTTGATCTTCTGACGCGAACTGACAACCGTGAACATTAACTGCACATGGGACATCCAGCTGAGGCCTCATGCACGCCAACGGCCGTCGGCCAGTTCCGGGGCGCTGAGATCAGCGATAGGAATTCGGAAGACTTTCGTGAGACTTCGAGTTTTGCACCCTCCGCGGTGTGGCATCACAAACAGCATTCGACAACGCGAATATTGCAGGTTGGGTAAATATTGTCCAGAAATCAGCGCTAATCAGCTCTCACAACTGCAGAACGTGTTCGCAGGGATCCTTGGCCAGACAGGACAGAAAGTGTGCCGAATGCGGCGGCGGCAAGCTGCAATTCTCTTTCTCAGGCTCCTATTTGGTCTGCCTACTAGGCCGCCCAGGCTGGAGTATGAGGGAGGCTAATCGGTATGAAGACGCGGGAATTAGTATGCCAGCGACATTTTCGCCGCTGTGTTGGAGTCTATGTTGCTAGTATGTATGTCCCACCTGCTCAAGCTTCGGCAGTTCCTTCTGCCAGTTGTCTTTCAATCACTGCACTCTTTGGCGCAATCGCACCCTGCTACGAATCCTCAACTTTATTCACAAGCAAGAATACCATAATTCACTGGATTTACGCACTTGTAGCTGATGAGTTGCTCGAACTACACAAATGATATTTCCAGCTGATGTGGCGGCAGGGAAGCTTCACGAGCTCGATCAGCTGCTCGACAATGCAAGGGGAATCGATTACAACTGGGATGTATGTTGTCTATGAGCCGGCATCTGGGTCCGTTGTCGGTTGGATCAACTTACTCGGATCCAACAGATCCATGCTTCTTGTCGTTGGCTGGACTACCGGTCCGCATTGCGAGCTTTGTTTTCATTGTTGAAGGGGCCGATTCACATCGGACGACCACCTCAATTCGCCGTGCGGTAACACTTGTACGATGCAACATCATCGATGGCCAGGCTTTCCATACTGGACATATTCCGGCACGTATATAGATAACCTGGACTCGGGCCCATATCGAAATCTATCGTCTCGAAAATCCCATGCAAAACCTTGCCACGAGCCCTGCGATGGATTTTTTTTGGTTTTCCGTGACTCTACTAGAATCTAGGCCGTGTGACGAGACTACATCCAATGATATAGATATATGGCAGCAACGCAAAGGTAAGTACGGACTAATTACGCAATGGCCTATTTATTCATTTTTTTCCAGTCATAATTTAGCATAACGATATGCATTAGTTGCGCATGAATTCTCGATGCAGCCCTTCTATTCTCAAGACTCAAGGTGTCGATCCCTTATCTGAACATCAGACCGGTCAATTTTTGCGTTATGTCGCCCGTGTGTGCTCAAATTCTATAGTCCGTGACGGTCATTTTCACCTTCTCTCAGTTCATCCCATCGAGATATGCATCTTCCCGAGGCTCAGGCTCCTGTCGTTATTGATTGTCCCACATCCAACAAGACACTTGCATCTCTTTCTGACCCCCACGCTGGGTCGTTGTGTCCCACCGGATGTTTATTCGGATCTTGTGACCCGTTGTGCTGCCTTGAAGGACTTATCCACCATCTATTGTGGCCCAGCACAGGCTGACCAGCTTTTGCGTGCACTATCACAGTGCAAGGCATGTCAGGCCCTTGAATATGTCAATATCTTCACCGGTAATCCAGTGGTCCAGGAGCGCTCATGCAACTCATTTATGCCGATCAGACAACCACGAAACCTACAGCCCGCTTCCCCCCATTGCTACAGAAATCTTAACAGCGATCTTCTTTTCGAAGCCATGTCAACTTGGCCGCACATCCGCTCGTTGGAATTGATGAGCCCACTTGCAAACGCTGCGGATATTATATTTTTTGATGCTGCGCACATCGATATAACAGCCGAGTTATTTTCAACACACCTCCCTACAAGCATTGGATCTGGACTCCAGTGACGTAGCAAATGCTGAAGCTGTCGCTCGCATCATCTTCTCCATGCTCCTTTGCGTTGATTAAGTAAACCAAGTATACGCCGGGAGACACTGCTGGAAGGACTGGCAAGAGGTCAACAGGCGTCTCGTCTTCTTCAGTTCACGGCTGTCAAATCATAGGAGCAACTTCGTAGTCTTGAGTGTGGGATACACTGATGTTCGGGGAAGTTGTCTGTGTCCGTCCTCTCACCATGTTTCGGCGTCGCGCTGAATTACACAAGGACTGTGCACTCGTTACTATAACCACGATTTGTTACGCGATCTTGAAGAATGATCAGTACCGTCTGTTGGACATTGCAGTTTCGGTTACCCTTATCTAATCTCGGCATAGCGTCAACATTGTTGTATCGCAGGTGCACCAGTGTTAACGTTGACAAAGTCTAGATATGAGGATTGCTGTTGGGTAGATCGTATGTGACGGTTGCGTGGTGTGACAGAACGGTTGATACAAGCTTAAGAAAGCTGCTGGGGAACGAGGTGATGGATCCATAGTCATGAGATTCATGTACTAAGACACATAATGTAATTTACAAATTAAAGGTCGCGATTCTAAAAATGCGGATGAAGATATGTATAGAAGATGCAAGTGGTGTGATATAAATGAACAATAATGATAATGCCGAGTTCCAAATGAGATTGCAATGGTGATGCCAATGATGATGATAATGTACAGGCAATATGACAAAGAGATGAAAGATAATAGTGCAGAATTCATTAGACGTTGTGTTCGTTTGTGAACGAGGGCTGGGCTGTCGAATACGTTGTATTGTCCTGGTACTCACAGCGGCCTTCAAAGAATCCCGAGCCATATTTCAGCAAAAACTCGTCCAGTTCGGCTGGTAGGGAGGTATTCTGATCGTTTCCGGAGACGGGTTGGTACTGAAAGTCCGCATCGAAGACGGGCTGGGACTGGAAGTTGACATCAGGAACAGGCTGCTGATATTTGACATCGGAAAACAGCGCAGGGTCGAACTGTGGCATGTGGAGAGTGGAGAGATCGGCAGGGACAGGCGGGGGCTGGAAGTAGTTGTTGGTGGGAACGGGGAACTGAGCGGGCTGATCATAAACGGAGGCAGAGCTCTCAGCAGAGTGATCGGGGAAGAGTCGCTCCCAGGTGAGTTCAATGAACTCGCCCGAGGATTGGGGAATACCGGAGTCGCTGGACGAAGCGGGTGAGAGCGCATCGCAAGGAATGAGGCCTGCGATCTCGGGAAATGTCGGGTCATTGAGATTCAGGGATGTAGGAATCTCTACCTCTGGCATTACAAATTGAGCAGAGGGGTAAGGTGCGGCAACGGACCGTCGAGCAGCTTTTCCACCGTGGTTACGACGCGCTTTGGGCTTGTAGTTGTGTAGTTGCTTGCGGTGACGCGTCAAGCTGCCTGGATCGGTAGTGGCAAATGGGCACCCAGGGTGAGGGCACGTCGAGGTTTCACGGGTGTGGGTCCTGATATGCGTTTGCACGTTGGACTTTTGGAGGGTCTTGTAATCGCAGTTTTGGAATGGGCATGCGTGCATACTGATCAAGAGAGTAACCAGGTCAGGAACCGTATGGTGTAATAAGGCACAATCACGTACAGAGCTTCCTTGTGTTCATCGTGCGTCCGCATGTGTCTGGGAAGATCTGCCTTACGGCTTATGACCTTATAGCAAACGGGGCAGTCAACAGGTGCCTATAGAGAAAGTGCCATGAGTACAAGATGCGTGATGTAAGGTAGGCTGAAAGCGTACCGTCTTACGTCCTGCAGCAGGCATCTTGTAATAGTGATTGAGAGGAAAGAAGCGGTTGTGAATGATCTGCGGTGTGGAATTGAATCCCTGAAGTGAATGAATAGCGCGTGTGTTATGGCGGATCCACACATCTTGCGCGCTCCTTTTAAAGCACCAGGCGTGCTATGGACTTCGAGTACGATTGCTTTTCTGCGGTGCGCGATTCTGCCTTTAAAGGCAAAAAGCGCGAAGCAATCGTGTGCCATGGTCTGAGCATAAGGAACGAGCCACTCGGTTAGTGGGAAAGGCAAGAGAGTTGGAAGAGGGTTCGATTGCGTCTCAACACTTTTTATTTTTTGCCTTGTAAGGTAATTTTTGGTTACCTGCTCGATGTGGGGATGAGTGGCTCAGTGCTCAGGCCTTCAGGCCTCATGAATGGGAAAGTAGGTACCCATAGACCCTTTCGAAGAAAGCTCCACCTCGAGGCACGCCCAAAAGCATTGATAGTGCTGTTGAGTTTCATCCCAGTGCTAGTTTCTAGGATAGCGTTCGCAGTCACCGGTTTAAATTAGAAGAGTCTGAGGACGACGAAGAACAACAACAAGCAGAGTAAAACAAGTACTTCATATCGCTTACGTTATCGAGGTAAAAGCTTGAACGTTAATCAAACTCCGATCAAATTCAGCCGAGCGGCTTGTCCCACTAGGGCCGTGAACTCAATGAAATTGCTGCGTCAGTGTGACGTTGACCGTTTAGCGGATTAGGCTCGAAGACAACGGCACACGAGAAGAATGCGTTCGAACTCGAAAGACAGGATCAAAGTCTAGTATTCGGGGGTTCCAAACACATTGCTATCCTACGAGTAAGGTATGCATATATATACTGGCGCGAACGGGACTCTGTAGGATATGACAGTAAGACTAGCTAGTAGAAAGGAACGGTAGGGTCAACTGTAGCGGACAAGCAATAAACTGTCAGTAGCTAAGTAACGACAGTAAGTACTTATACATTTCGTGCGCAATAGTGTCTAAGGATCGAAAGGGATGTGTGACACAGTCTAATAGTTACATACCATAAAACATACATAGTACTCCCGCCCTCTCAATCTCGCATTCTCGCCCAGTTCCCCACCAAAATCATCGCCTCATCCCTCATCAACGCCAACGCCTCATCAACATCCCTTTCTACAGTCTTCTCAGCGCCAATCACCATCCGCACACAGAACACCCCATTCAGGTCCGTCTGGGTGATCGCAATATCACTTCGTGCCGCAAGGCGAGCATAAAAAGCGCGGTTCAAAACGTTGAGCTCGGGAGTCCCTAGCTGAGGAAGGGACTTGGGCGTAAGCCTAAAGACTGTCATGGCAAGGGACGGCTTTGTGACGATGGAGAATAAGTCAGATTCGTATATGTGCTGTGCGAACTCGGTGTTCAGCTTGATGCACTGGTGAGACAAGACTAAATGTCAGCACGGATGGTTTGGAAACCAATGATAGTAAATAAGCTAACATACGTCAGTGATATACTTTTGGAACCCCTTCACCCCCCGCGCACGAAGAGCAAACCAAAATTTGAGCGAGCGGAACCGTCTGCCAAGGCCCAGATGCCAGTTGCGGTAGTCGATAGCGGTGCCTATACACATTCGTCATTTATGCAACGCGTTTTGTCGACTAAATAACAGAAACGCACCAGCGTCCCCATGCTTCGACCGCAAAAACTCAGGTGTGACGTCCAGCGCATCGGTCAAATCTGTTCGGTGCCGCACCCACAAACAGGAGCCATCAAAATGGATTAGACCCCACTGTAGAATTTCAATGAGTCCCATAATGACGTCACGAGACATTAATGAATAAACCTTGTGGAAATTGGTGCAAAAAGAGTCTACGAATTTATTGATTGCAGGAAGTTGGTATGCCTCGCGATATTCAGGACACACGAATGCGACGCCTGCCCAAGCGGCATCGACATGCAGCCAAAGGAAAGGGTAATTTTTCGCTGCGCGTAGGAACGAGATTCAAGGAGCTTTAATAGCATGATCAGGATACGCACCAACATCAGCAATCTCGTCAAGCCGATCGACAGCACCGGATGATGTCGTCCCTACCGTACCAACTGCAACAACGAACATCATCAATTCCAAGACATGAAATCCATTGCGAAAGTTATACTCAGGATGAAAGGGTGGAGCCCGGCGTCCACGTCCTCCTGCAATGCCACTCCAAGCGTCTTTCCACGCAATGCAAAGTCATCCTCTGCTGTGACTTCCAGTGCGCGGACATTGAGTCCTAGGACAAGCCCAGCCTTCTTCCCTAGCGAGTGCGTTTGAGTGGTGGTGTAAAGTACGAGTTTCTCCATAGCCACGTGAGGGTGCTCACGAATATATCGTGAACGAGCAGCGACAGTTGCGACCAACACAGAGTCAGATGCTGACGTCTAGTGCACGGCGATCAGTATAAATTGGTGATATGAGGGGATGAAAAACAAACCTGAATGACGCCGCCGCCGACTTCGGAGATGTTGTAGAACGACTTATCAAGCCCGAGTATCTGGGCGGTCCAGTCCATGACAACAGCCTCAAGCTCTGTGCATGCGGGGCTAGCAGACCACTACAACAACGATTACAAAGATACTGGGAGAGTTGCGGTAGAGAGACGTACGTTGAATCCCGGGTTAGAGGTGCTAGACGCGTATAATTCTGCAAGTATACCCTCGAATGTGCTTGACGTAGGGAAGTATGCATAGAACGAGGGGTGCTGCCAATGTGTCAAACCTGTCAGTTTGAATGAGATGGGTGAATTTGTCCAATAATGGGAATCAAGTACCAGGAATGATGTACTTTTGATAGTCATCCGCGATGAGCTGGAAATCCTCGCCCTCAGTTGGGGCGGATGCTGTGATCAGAATGATGAGAAGAAAGCGCAAGGTAAAACATATAAAAAGTGCAGACATGGGAGTGCTTTTCTGAGATACCCCGGTTCAACTTGGGATGACACAGGCCTATCCCTTAAGGAACCATGGTAGTCACATATTCTATCGATGGCTTGATAGCCAGCTCTACGAAATCTGTGTGTGGTAAATCAGATATAAACGAGGTCAGAATCTGAAACTTGCAGAAAAACGTACTGCTCAGCATCCATGACGTCAAAAAATGGTGGTTAGGTATGAGTTAATCTGGAGTGAAAGGGATATGCAGGTGATTGAGTGCAGTTCAAGCCTCAGACTGTCTAGGCTTTATACCGGGGGCAACTTGTTGCGCTCTGGCACAAACTGAATAACTGGGAACATGGACCTCCCAGAGTAGGCAATCCACCATCAGTGTTTTAGTAATTCGTGAGTGAGCAAAGGGACTATCCGTCGGGTTGCACCCTAAATATTATACCACACCAACAACTTGAACACACCAAGGCAAAAAAAAAACTTCTGGGATTCTATACGACACCTGTCTCCGGCACAACGCACTTCAAATTGGAGCCGTGACGAAGATCATAGAGTATCTCGAGGGTTAGAGGAGTACTAGCGGTTTTGTTTTCGTGTGAGCGTGTGATTTCTTCGATAGTCATTGGCACGTTAGGTGGATCGGGGCTCATTAATATTGTGACTGGAGGTTACGACCCTGTGGGTGCCTGGCAGCCGCGCAAGTTAGCCACAGCATCAGTCGGCGGTATCCGCAAGACTTCGTTGGCGAAACAAGGCGAGACAGCTCCTCGGTTCAAATCGGAAGGAACCAGTTATGTTACGCCCTGTTAATATTATACGCACGAAAGGAATACTCCTTTGAGGATCTTGACAGTAGCGCTGACTCTGATTGGACAACGCAAACTTTTTGAGACGAGGACGAAGCCCTCATTCGCATAGTGTGTATCGACCCAGGCCTAGAGATATCTGTGGAGATTGTGATAGGTGGACTCTTTAATTATGGTTCCAGATTACAACCCAGCGGCCTGACCAGTGCACGCAGTGGTACAAGACGTTGCCATCAACCACTTAAATAGGCTATGTGTGCGATCCTGCAAGTTGGCTCAGCGCAAATGGGAAGGCACTTCGGAAGACTTGTCTAAGACTTCTTGTCGTCGTTCCCTGTCGGGCCTCGGCCCTCTCGTGTACGTGTGGTTTCGTGTCCATTAACAAATCGTATTGTACTAGCCGTCGGAGAACCTATGAACATTCCGTCAGACAGAGAACGACTCGAGTGGTTTCACGTAGGATGGCACGTTTGATGTGCGGGTTTCAACTCGCGTCAATATTCTCGAGTAAAACGTAATAGCCTCCCAAAAGTAGACCATAGACGATTCTGTAAGACGAATGAAGACACAGGTAGGATGTTAGTGGGTACGGAATTGAGGGAGTCATACCGAGCTGAACATTTTTCTGAGAGCAGACTCACTAGTACCAGTGTGAAGTTGATGAAGGTCAACCACAACTGCAATGCATGACAAACACCACAAGGTTACTTCCTTCCCGCGATGGGCAACGCACTCTCCCTCATACGCCTAGCGCTCACCGAATTCCTCGACAACCTCAATACATTCCAAACTCTCCAAGCGCGCATCCAGCGCTCTCCAGGACTCCCACTTCCAAACCCAAGTCGTTCATTCTGGTCCTATCCACCTTCGCCCATCGCCACTCACATTTCCCAGCTCCCGACTCATGCTGACTTTGTCATTATTGGCTCGGGTATCACTGGGACGTCGGTAGCGAGGAAGCTCTTGAATAGCGCGCATGCTGAAGGGCATGATATTAAAGTTCTCATGTTGGAAGCAAGAGATGCATGTTCAGGCGCGACTGGCAGGCGAGTATCATATCAACTCTTTCATAGACCAGTGCACCAACACCCTCGGTAGAAATGGCGGACACATCTCACCTCCTCTATACCATGATTATTCCTCGCTCAAGCGTGATCACGGACAAGCTGTTGCTCAAAAGATGATGAAATTCAGGTTAGCTCACCTCGAGGAGCTACGAAGCATCGCAGAGCAGGAAGACATTCTTGCAGAGTCTCAGTGGCGAGAGGTAGAATCAGTAGATGTGTATTATGACTCGGACATGTTTCAGAAGGCGAAGACAAAGGTCCAATCATATAAAGCAGACTTCCCCCTCGATGCGGAGCATCATCAAGTGCACGAAGGAAAAGAAGCTATCGAGGTACGTCCAATGACTCAGGCACAGCACAAAACTTATGCTCGTGTCAGAAATTCTACCTAGCATCTGACACCATAGGTTGCATATCTTCCAGCGCAGGCGCAATCCATCCATATCAATTCGTGACCGGAATCCTCGCAAAGCTTCTATCACGATACCCCGACAAGTAAATTCTCCCCTTCCCATTCCATACCAATCAAATTGACCTACCCCACCCACAGCTTCTCGCTCTGCACCAACACACCATGTACCTCCATTTCACCTCCAACGTCCTACCCACCATACCCCTTCATGTCACCTCCAAGATTATTCACCCCCTATTACACCCTCTCCACCCCCCGCGGGATAATCACAACCCCCCACATCATCCACGCAACCAACGGCTGGGCATCAACACTCCTCGAAAAGCTCCGCGCCAAAATCATTCCCTTCCGAGGCAACATGTCAGCCCAGCGCCCAGGCCAATCCCTCATCACCCCCAGCTCCGACCCCTCCTCCCACCGCTCCTTCGTCTTCTACACCCGACCAATAGGATTCGACTATCTCACCCAACTCCCCACAGGCGAACACGAACTCATGCTAGGGGGTGGATTCGCACAAGATGGGGACGAGGGGTACGAAGCTATGGGAAATACGGACGATACTACGTATAGTAAACGTATCGGCGCGCATTTGTCTGGTGTGCTTCCTAGGTATTTTGGTGAGGATAATTGGGGGAAGGAGAGCGTGCCTTTAGAAGGGGGTGATGGAGAGTGGGCGGACGGACGCGTTAAGGGGTTGTGGAGCGGGATTTTGGGCATTTCAGTGGATTTGATACCTTGGGTTGGCCGTTTGCCGCGTGTGGTGTCTGGAAGGAGTGAACCGCCGTTGAGTTCAGTTGTGACGAGTGAGAAAGAGGGGGGTGGGGAACGGGTGCATGTGGGCGCTGCGCCAGGGGAGTGGATTGCAGCTGGATATTCGGGCGAGGGGATGGTGCATGCATGGTTAAGCGGGCAGGCCCTTGCAGAAATGGTGTTGGGACGCGAAGTCGAGGGCAGGCTTGGACAATGGTTCCCGGATATTATGAGAGTTACTGAGAAGCGGTGGAAGAAGGCGAAGGCGGAGAATTTGCTGGATGCGTTGGAAGATTAGCTTGTGCGTGTAATACTACTTTGTCTCATAGGCCGGGGACCATGCATGACTTCCGAAGCAGCCTTTTCAGCGCAAATTTGGGACTCTTTCTCAAATTCGCGCGGACAAAATTCCCCTTGATTCAAGGAGTAGAAGAAAGAGTTTGCACGAGGTACTTCCTTGTTGAAAACCCTTCTTCATCGTGCTGCAGCTCCAGCCACGACGCTTGACTAAGTTCAAGAGTGCCTACCGCTGCATTAGCAGTGCTAGTGATGAGCGAAATGTAGTGGCTCGATTGCCATAAAGCTGAGAAAAAAGCAAAAGACGGTCCGAAGTTGTGGTAGTCGATAGTAGGTCTAGGGTCTGGAATACTCTATAGCCGAAGCCTAGATCTGAAGCAAAATGTTAAGTAAAACCCCCTATGTGTGAGTCTGCATCGATGGTTATGAAATGTGTTGATATGAAATTCCCAGTTTGAGTTCTGAGATCTGAGTGGCAACAGCCCTGCACGTGGGAGTCAGACTATACCGAAGAAAACCACTGGCAGTCAAATGGTTGCTTCTTGACCATGGAGGAGCCCGAGGAAACCAGTTAATCATCAAGCTTGCCAGCCTGGCAGACACGTCGGTCTCCAAATGCCGCGGAAAGAACAAATACATTGCCCTTCAAATTCGGAATTGAACAGGCTCATGATGTTGTCCGAGGACTATATAATTCATACAACATGTCATCATGAGCCTGTTCATGACTACGAGGGTCCCGGTGCCATTGATGGTTGGAGACATTGATATTGATGTTGTCGCGGGAAAGGCATGAAAAACAAGGGATTGAACAAAATATACATAGTGACTGCATTGACGACTCACTGTGTTTGGGAATGACAGTCACAGCTTGGTCGCTGGATCGCGGAATTCGAATTTTGGTTGGTTCAAACGATCCCTCAGTGAACTTCGTTTCATCTTGAAGACCGCATCATGTTTTGGTACGCTATCAGACTCAGGAAGATACGGAGACTCTCACATCGCGTAATAATGGTCATATTTATCTGTGCTACCGTGATCTGGCTCCGGTCGACTTCAACACCAGTCTCGAGTCCTACTAGTAAGAGCGCCGCCTGGGCTGTTGCAGAAGAAATACTGGACACATTGGATGTTGCCGTGGATGACTATATACGCTCTACGATGAATGCAGAGGATAGCTTCTCGTCACGCCTCCTCAAACAAGACGCGGCTGCTCAAGAACTCCTACGATGTTTCTCTACCCTCTCTCAATTCCGTTCATGCTCCTTGTCACAACAGGCCATTAACCCGACTTCCGCATCGCCTGTCCTGCCATCGAGACAGTCACTCTCATCGGATGACACTCAGATCCACGACTTATCTGATTCTTGCATCAAGCCCATCTCGTGTTTGTGCTCTTCCCTCACAGGAAAGAGACTGACCATGGTAGGCGGCGAGCATGTATACCGTTTCCACAACTTCCTCCTTGACAACCAGAAGAGGTCCGAAAGAAAACGATTCTCATGCCTCGGGAAGGAGTTCTGTACTCACCATCATCTATGTTTGCGTGCCGCCAGTAACAATCCCGTTTTTAAAGAGGGGCTTGTTCGCTATATCCGTTCACCATCCGTCGAAGAGCTCGTGCAAACTGGTTCATCGCTCGTTAATTACGTCTTGTCGGATACCCTTCTTACCTTGCCCGACCCAGAAGCGTCAGAGTATTCCGTCCCATACATCCATGCCTTCAGCGGCGTAAGGTCCCACGAAACGTACTGGCTAGCTTCAGCGAGGAAAGCAGACATCCTTATACTGGGACGGGGGCCGTTTAGCGCACCGCCTTCAACGTATACAGGGAACTGGTCATTCCTTTCAGACTTTCCGTCTTATATTGGAAGTCATCATGAGAAGATCCCTTCATACGCCGTACCGAACTCCCGTCAGATTGTGGATGCTGCAGTACATGCCACTCTTTCAGTATTTCTCCCTGAGGTCCAGCGGACGCTAGACGCACTCCGCGCCAATAATTGCTTCAACAGAAAAAAACAAGTCATATGGTTGGTCAGCCAGCCGCGGTGTCCTGGGTATGGTCCGAAAAACGCTCTCCTTCGTTATTTCCTCCCCAATGGACAGCATAAGCCATCGCCGGGTGACTTGACAGCAGTTCTCCTTCGCCACCTTGCAGCTCTATCGACCGATGGGCCCCTAGAAGACCCCTGGACACTTTACTACAACGTTCAAGGTATGTCATCTAGTCTAAATCTAGAATTTAGCGTGCGTCGTTGTCGACAGTATGAATTCATCTCATCTCCTTCATGCGTTCAGTCTACCTACAAGACCGTCTCCTTCGTCAAGTTCTGCCACGCTTCGGAGTTCTCCTCTTGCAGTTGGAGAATTTTGTTGAAGCTGCTTAGGGTGTTGCTGGACTTCAGCTTCGGTGTCGAGGTTCACACACATAACGGGCGACTGCTTCTATTTTCTACAGAATCATGAAAAGCGACGACAATAATTAGTAGTAAAAGAGAGGTCACGATGACGAAGTGACGACGCTAGATAACAACGCGAACTCAGTCGTGAGCGGAACGACTGTATTAATTTACCATACCTAACAACGCGAACTATAGCGTATGTTAGTAACGTTCTATGTGAGTAGCTATTGTACTCACCTCAGTCGTGAGCGGAACGACTGAGGGAGAGATAGGAACCGAAGACGGTAAGTACTCTAATACCCAAATATACACAAACATCGCTGCCGAGGCTCGTTAATGATCTCAAAGATCGACACTCCCACTCGAGCGAGGCAGTAAACCGAGGGCTTCTGTGAACCTTTGGTGTTTCTCTTTAGGCAGTGCCTTCGTCATGATGTCGGCGACCATTTCGCCCGTAGGACAATAGTCAACGACGGCCCATTTTCGCTCGTTCACAACTTCTCGCACATGATGATACTTCCGGCCAATATGTCTCGTCCGTGCTCGATAACCCGGGTTTTTCGTAAGGGATATGGACCCTTGGTTGTCGGCCAGGAGCAGTGTGGGTTTCTGCTGGGTATAACCCAGCTCGTCCATGAGTTCACGCAGCCATGTGAGTTGCTGCGCTGCGTTCGAGAGCCCGATATATTCAGCCTCGGTGGACGACAGAGCAACCAACCCCTGCAGTTTGCTGCTCCAAGATATAGCTGCGCCTCCCATGAGAAACGCATAACCCGACGTTGATCGTGATGTGTCGACGTCTCCACTCCAGTTCGAGTCGGAGTAGCCGTAGAATATGAGTGCGTTATCACGACGTTTGACGGGCGAGAAGGTGAGTGCTAAGTCTTTTGTACCCCGAAGGTAACGCAGGACACGTTTGGCAGCTACCCAATGCACCTTGCCTGGGTTTCCACTGAAACGAGCCAATGCTCCCACTGTATAGCAGATATCTGGACGAGTGGCCACCATCGCGTACATCAATGATCCAATGATGTTCTTGTACGGCTTTCCTTGCATCTCGAGCCACTCATCAGAGTTTGGCTCGGGCGACTGTGCATTTGAAAGTACCAGGCCAGGGTCCATGGGTGTCGCGACTGGCTTGCAATCTTGCAATCCATACTTCTGAAGCATTTTCAGGATGTATTGTCGCTGCGACAAACTGATGGTCCGCTTGGCTCGGTCCCGTGTGATTTCGATGCCCAGCAGATGCTTGGCTTCACCAAGGTCGTGCATTTTGAAGAGTCGCAGAAGCCTTCTCTTCATCTTCTCGGTGAACTTTAAACCTTTTGCAGCTACGAGTAGGTCATCGACATACACGGCAAGAAAACAAACGCGCCCCTTCTTATCACGGTACACATACAGGCAGTACTCGGCGCTGATTCTGATGAATCCGATCCCGACGAGCGCCTTGTGCAGCGTGACGTTCCAGACATAGCCGGATTGGGGCAGACCGTATAGTGCACGACCAAGTGCCCATACGTGGCCCGCAGGACAGTACACACCATCGGGCGGCATGACATACACCTCTTCCTCGAGTTCACCATTGAGGTAAGCGGTGGATACATCTAATTGATGTAGCTCAAGGTCTTCTTCAGCTGCTATATCGGCAATCACCCTCACAGCTTCCATTCCCAGAGTTGGCGAGTAGCTTTCTTTGTAGTCTGTCCCCTTCTTCTGGTTGTAACCTTGTGCTACGAGTCGAAGCTTGTATCGTTCGATCTCGCCCTCAGCGTTGACCTTGATTCGCATCACAGGCTTCACACCAATGATTTTGGTATCCTTTGGACGAGGGACAACACGAAATACTCTCTTCTCCTTCAAGGATGCTAACTCTTCGTCCAATGCGGCCTTCCACAACGTTGCGTCTGGTCCATCAAAAGCTTCCCGAAGGGTCCTTGGCGTTTCGGCAGCCTTTGGGTCACTTTCAGCGAGGGCAGCCATGTGACAGTGAATGTCGTTGGCTAGGAACAGTTCTTCTGATTCCGACGCGAGTTCAGTTAGTGGACTCTCTGGAGACCCGAGTACATCAACTGTGGCTGGTTTTGGCCGTGCTGACACCTCAGCTAGAGTTTGGTGATTGGGAGTTGAAGGGATTCTTATCTGATTGGCTACAAGTTGGGGTGTGCGAGCTGGTGGTTGTATGTTTCGGCGTTCTCGTCGTTGCGCAATGGGTGCGTCGTCAATGTTGACCGGATTCGTTGACACCTTCGACAGTTGGCGAACACGTTTCGTGGGTCTTTCAGACTTTGCCCCTGGGCTGGTGTTCTTGCTGAGCGGTACGGCTATGGGATCATTGTTGTGAGCGACATCATCATCTGCTTCTGGGACTGGGTCATTGCCGGAGTTAACAGATTCTAAATCTGCGTTCAGCAGGTCATCAGGCACCCGTTCTACCAGAAGGTCTGGTGATCAGAGGCGAGCGGGGACGCGAGAGAGCGGGAAAACTAGATAGATTATCTCAGTCTGTATAGAATGACTCAATACAATGTATAGTACCTAGATAGATTCTATGGAACGAGTTAGCCGCTTGGTATAATGTAGGGGGGGGAACATAAGCTTACATCTCAGTCTGTATAGAATGACTGAGATGCTCGGACGGATAGAGTCGTGAATTTAAGTAAAGTAGCATAGTGATGAAAAATATATGGTAGCATACGACCTTGACACTTTGTATCGTCGGCGCGATGCCCGACGTCAAACGTCGTCATCCAACTGCGCTCGCAATGTCTCAGCGTGACGTTTACGACGTCACCTGTCCGGTATTCGATCCGGAGTCCAATACTCCCCCTCGAGCGCTGTCGAGGTGCATGAGATGGCGTAGCTTCTGGAGCCTAGGACGAGGGAGGGCCTTGGTGAACGCGTCCGCGATATTGTCATCTGTGGGACAATAGGTGAGGCTGAACGTGCCGTTCTTGACGTGAGTTCTGACGAAGTGATAGCGAAGATCAATGTGCTTGGTGCGGGAATGAAACTTGTTGTTGGAGGCGAGGGCTATGGCTGCCTGGTTGTCGCAATGGATGGGCGTTGGGAGAGTAGGGGGATCGTATAGCTCGTCTAGCAGAATCTGTAGGTATAGGATCTCTCTCCCGACAGTTGTTAGCGCAATATATTCGGCCTCAGCCGTGGATAACGCAATGATAGGCTGTTTGCGTGCGCTCCACGCGACTGGCCCACCGTTGAGTAGGACAACGTATCCTGAGGTGGAGTGGCGATGCGTCTGGGACGCCCAATCAGCGTCTACGTATGCTTCCAGACCACTGTCTGTCCCTCCAAGGGTGATACCGTACTCAGAGGTACCCTTCAGGTAGCGTAGTACGCGTTTTGTGGCCTCCCAATGAGCAGTTCCCGGATTTCTCATGAATTGAGAGAGTGTCGCTACGGAGAAGGCGATGTCGGGGCGTGTGCTGGTAGCTGCGTACATCAGCGACCCGATGGCACGCTGGTAGGGTACGTCGCGCATGGCTTCCAGCTGGGCGTGGGTGGCAGGGCACTGTGCATCCGACAAGTCAGCTCCAGGCTCCATTGGCGTCTGGCTGCTCTTGGCGTCTGTTAGGTAGAATCGCTGTAAGATGGTGTCAATGTAAGCGTGCTGCGACAGAGTGATGGTGCGTTCGAGACGGTTACGCTCGACCTTAAGGCCCAGCAACCAATTGAGTTCTCCTAAGTCCGAGATTTCGAAGTAGTTAGTGAGCTCGCTCTTGAACTTCACGATGTGGCGTAGGTGCTTTGAGGTAACTGCCATATCGTCGACGGATACAGTGACGACCGTGTGTTCTTCGTCCACGCGTCTGTAGTACACTGCCTGATCGACCTGTGAGCGCTTGAAGTCCATCTTCGCGAATACTCCTGCTAATTCCTCAGACCACTCAAATCCTGCCTGCTTCAACCCTGGTAAACTCCTCAACAACTTCAAGACCTTCTTCTCGTCTCCTTCCCTCAAGTAACCCGGTGGGGCCCGCATATAGATGTCTTCCTTCAACTCCGCGTAGAGGTAAGCGCTCTTTATGTCCACTTGATGTATTTCCCAATCTTCTTGTGCAGCCATCGTGAGGACGGTCCGTATGGTGGACATATTCGAGGTAGGGGCGAACGTATCGAAGTAGTCGATCCCGAACTTCTGGCGTTGACCGTTTGCGACTAATCGAGCTCGGAGTTTCAGCTTCTCACCGTTTGGTCCTCGTTTTGTCGCCAAGACGTAATGACACGGTATGAGGTTCGCGCGTGCCGGTAAGTCAACGATCTCCCACGTGCCTAACTTCTCGAGTTGGCTGATTTCATAATCGATCGCCTCTTGCCACTCAATTGCATCAGGCCCGTTCAAGGCCTGCTGGTAGGTGACCTCTGGCTCTACTGCAGCGAAGGCATATTGGTGGGTGAGTACTTCTTCGTCGATGAAATCTGACTCTGCAGGTTCAAATACCTGCTCTGCTGCAAGCGTGGCTCGCTCCCCTTGCTGCAAAGACGCATAGTATCCAGGAGGAGGTCTTGCACGTGTCTCGCGAGGTGCTGATGGTTCTGGAGTTGGGATGAGTGGTGTTGGCATTGGCGACGGAGACGGTTGGGTAAGTGGTGTTGGCATTGGCGACGGAGAGGGTTGGGCATGTGGTGTTGGCATTGGCGACGGCTGGGCGCTATTAGTAGTGGACTCCCCCTCGCCCAGCGTTACATCAACAACGGCTGGCGTAGGGACGAAGGTGAGGTTTCTTTCCACTGACACACGCCTCTTCGCTGACCAAAACACCCTGTACCCTTTACTTTCAGCATCTATCCCCACGAACACTGCCTCCTCAGCACGCGCTTCAAGCTTACCGGCATGCTCAACATGCACCAGCACCTGGCATCCGAACTCCCGTGCCCTCGAAAGATCTGGGGGCGTACCATGGACCAAAGCATAGGGCGTCTGGCCTGGTATCGACCTGGATGGAAGACGGTTCTTCAACCACACG